TGGTAAAATTGGTACATGCTATAACTTGCACAATGCAAAAATACAAGTTATAACATGTACAAAAGTAAAAATGGTTTCAACTTGTACAAAATTTGAAAATAAATTTGAATAAAGCAGAATGTACACCTTTTCTGAAATTGGATAATCGTTCAGACCATTGTGTAGAATAATTTTCACTGAGCCATGTTGCAAGCATTTCTTTTACATCAGCATTCGCCCTTTCGTGACATGGTCTACCATGAACAATTTTAAGGTCATGCCATAGTGAATTAGTAAGCTCAATGGACCCAAAATACTGAATTTGGTAAAGTGGTCTTGGTAATGTAACACTCACTTATAGCCATTGTCTGGGACTGATTGATAATCAATAAAGTCAACTTGTCCTCTTAAACTAAAATCAGACGATTTTATAATTCACCAGGTTAGAATACTGAATAATAATTATTGACCACATGTGTGTTTTAAAAGGAATTAAGTAATTTAATATATAAACTGTTAACACAGAGATATGTCTCCCCTATTTGTTATTTTGATAATGCAAATGTTGAAATTAAAATAGCAATACTTTAACATGTAAGTCATGCAAATATTCAAAGTCAATGAACCATGACTAAAGGTACAGGGCTAAACAATCTCAATGGAAATGAGATGTGCCAATGTTATTACAACTGCAAACCAAATACAATTGACTTTTCATAAGGTGTTCCCTTTAAACAAACCTAAACACAAACATTTACTTGTAAACTATGTAAAAGTTTCAAAGTCAATGAACCATAATTAGGTGACGGGGTTATATAATCTCCATGGAAATGAAAGAATGCCTTTACAATTGCATACCAAATATCATTGACTTAACATTAGTGGTTCATCTTAAACTGAACTAATCACAAATTTATACATGTAAACTAAGCAAAAGTTTCAAAGTCAATAGACCATGACTGACGGGTAAGGACCAAATATTCTCCATGGAAATGAGATGTGCTAATGTTTATGCAACTGCATACCAATTACCATTGACCTACCACTAACGGTTCCCCTTAAACTGACCTAAATCACAAACTAATACATGAAAACTAAGCAAAAGTTTCAAAGTCAATAGACCATGAATGAGGGGGCAGGGCCAAATAATCTCCATGGAAATGAGATATGCCAATGCTTATACAACTGCATACCAAATATCATTGACTTACCACTAGTGGTACCCCATAAACTGACCTAATCACAAACTAATACATGTAAACTAAGCAAAGTTTCAAAATCAATAGACCTTGACTGAGGGGGCGGGGCCAAATAATCTCCATGGTAATGAGATGTGCCAATGCTAATACAACTGCATACCAAATATCATTGACCTACCACTAGTGGTTCACCATGAACTAGACCTAATCACAAACTAATACTTTGTTAACGCCGTCGATGTCGACGCCAGAAACAGCCTACCTATGTCTCGCTTTTTGCCTCCGTCAAGGCAAGCTGACAAAAAACTATTTATCTAGTCATTAACTGTATCAAAAAGGACTAAACACACTAAAACGAATGAACAAATTAATTTTCGAGATAATAAGCAAAAATGAAAAAAAAATTGGTAAAAATTCATAATTTAAGCCGGGAAATAACTCCTATTAGAATTCATCTGACAGTTTTTATATAAATGAATAGTAGGTAGATCTCAACATTCTGAACATTTTTGCTCCCGTCATAATTTCTCTATTATAGTGGTTTTCAAGATAATAGACAAAGCTTGCATTTTACCCCTATATATTGCATTTATAGTCGTCTGCAATGTTGGATGGTAGGTGGGATTGCCTGACAACATTGTTTGAACTAGATATCCCACTGACTATTGTGACCAATAAAATTGAGAATGGAAATGGGGAAAGTGTCAAGCAGATAACAACCCGACCAAAGAGCAGAAAACAGTCTGTTTAAAGGTTTGGTTAGCTTTTGAGGTGAATGTTGACATTTTTGTGCTTTGTATAGAATATTACCATAAAAGATTGAATGTGAAATACCTGAACGTATAAGATGTCTGCATGTTGATTTATATTTACGAATGATGTCCTTGTACTGATGATAAAATTTAGTAAATGTTTTGACTAGTTTGTGATATCGAAAACCCTGGTGTAATAATTTTTTAGTAATACAGAGGTTTCTTTTGTAAAATCAAATACGTTGTTACATACACGAGCGAATCGAACAAGTTGAGATATATGAACACCATAAGATGGTGACAAGGGAACGTCACCATCTAAAAATGGATAATTAACAATAGGAAATGAAAAATCATCTCTTTTATCATAAATTTTGGTATTAAGCTTCCCGTTAAAGATAAAGATATCAAGATCCAGGAAAGGGCAGTGTTCATGTTAGTATTAGCTTTTTTTAAAGTCAGTTCAGCAGGATAAATCTCTTTAGTGTACATACTGAAGTCGTCATTATTGAGAGCCAATATATCATCTAAATGTCTAAAAGTGTTATTAAATTTTTGTATCAGATGTTGTTTCGATGGGTCTTTGCTGATTTTAGTCATAAATTGTAACTAATAACAATACAGAAACAGGTCTGCAATAAGTGGGGCACAGTGAGTCCCCATTGGAATTCCTATAACTTGATGATATACGGAATCTCCATAGCGAACAAAAATGTAATCTATAAGTTTGGTTAAATTTGGCCCAACAGTTTAAGAGATGTTTGTAAAAAGTTAATGGATAACAACAGATGCTAAGTGAGGAGAAAAGCTCACTTGGCTCATTGAGGCAGGTGAGCTAAATATAGTCAAACACTCTGTATGTGCCTGTCCCAAGTAAGGAGTCTGTAATTCAGTGGTTGTCCTTTGTTGCTGTTTATCAGCTTTGTTAAGTGTTTTGTACATAAATCAGGCAGTTAATTTTTACGCTTGAATTGTTTTACATTTGTCATGTCTTGGCCTTTTATAGCTTTCTATATGGTATGGGTTTTGCTCTTTGTTTAAGGCTGTACTGTGGATAACTTCTATGCCTTTTGGGTTTTTGATGGAAAGTTCTCTTTGGCAATCATACCACATTTTCTTTTTTTTGTTGTTGATTAAAATCTTCATTGAAGGGCAATTACTGCTTAAGTGAGTCATCTTAAAAGTTTTATGAAAATGGTAAGAAGGTAGATCTGAACATTCTGAGCATTTTTGCTTTGTCAGATTTTCTCAACCTATTATGGGTTTCATGATTATAGACAATTGATACATTTTAACCCTTGTGTTCCATTTTTAGCCATGATGGACATGTTTGTTGATTGGCAGGAAAACATAAACAGCTCCGCCATGAGTGCATGATACGCCCGTCGCTTTTTTAATAGATATAAACCAGTCATCAAAGTTTCATGAAACTGCTCAAGGCATTTTTGAGTAATTGTCCGAAAACTGGAAAATCTCCCTTTTTTAATGAATAAAACCCCATAACTCGGAAACGTAAAATCTAAAATTTATTGAATTCGAAAGGGAGCTCACATCAATAGACATAAACAATTCAGCAAAGTTTCATGAAAAATGCTCAAGGCATTTTTGAGTAATTGTCCGAAAACTGGAAAATCTCCCTTTTTTAATGAATAAAACCCCATAACTCGGAAACGTAAAATCTAAAATTTATTGAATTCGAAAGGGAGCTCACATCTATAGACATAAACAATTCAGCAAAGTTTCATGAAAACTGCTCAAGGCATTTTTGAGTAATTGTCCGAAAACTGGAAAATCTCCCTTTTTTAATGAATAAAACCCCATAACTCGGAAACGTAAAATCTAAAATTTATTGAATTCGAAAGGGAGCTCACATCTATAGACATAAACAATTCACCAAAGTTTCATGAAAACTGCTCAAGGCATTTTTGAGTAATTGTCCGAAAACTGGAAAATCTCCCTTTTTTAATGAATAAAACCCCATAACTCGGAAACGTAAAATCTAAAATTTATTGAATTCGAAAGGGAGCTCACATCAATAGACATAAACAATTCAGCAAAGTTTCATGAAAACTGCTCAAGGCATTTTTGAGTAATTGTCCGAAAACTGGAAAATCTCCCTTTTTTAATGAATAAAACCCCATAACTCGGCAATGTAAAATCTAAAATTTATTGAATTCGAAAGGGAGCTCACATCTATAGACATAAACAATTCAGCAAAGTTTCATGAAAACTGCTCAAGGCATTTTTGAGTAATTGTCCGAAAACTGGAAAATCTCCCTTTTTTAATGAATAAAAAAAACCCCATAACTCGGAAACGTAAAATCTAAAATTTATTGAATTCGAAAGGGAGCTCACATCAATAGACATAAACAATTCAGCAAAGTTTCATGAAAACTGCTCAAGGCATTTTTGAGTAATTGTCCGAAAACTGGAAAATCTCCCTTTTTTAATGAATAAAACCCCATAACTCGGAAACGTAAATAAAATTTATGAAAATCGAAAGGGAGCTCACATCAATAGATATAAACAATTCACCAAAGCTTCATGAAAACTGTTTAAAGCATTTTTGAGTTATTGTCCGAAAACTGGAAAAACCCCTTTTTTAATAAACAAAACCCCATAACTGGGAAACGTAAAATCTAAAATTTATAAAAATCTAAAGGGAGCTCACATCAATAGATATAAACAATTCACCAAAGTTTCATGCAAATTGGTTAAAGCGTTTTTGAGTTATTGTACGACATGTTGACGACAGAGGGACGAACAACGGTATACCATAATACGTCCCGTAAACGGGCGTATCAAAAACCACACTAACTTTATACTAGATAACCTAAGAATCACTCAGTTTAGGCTTAGATGAAATTGTCCAGTGGTTTATGAGAATATTTTTGAAAAAGTTAACAATGATGGCCCCAGACAACAGACTTCAAGGGTTGGCAATAGCTCACATGGCCAATGAAGCCATTAAAAAGCTTCTATTGTAATGATACACAATATTGCAATTCAAATATTGTTGAAAGAAGAAGTTTGCTATGATGATTTGTAACTAGTTTGCAAAAAATATAAATTTTATAAATTTAAATCTATTTTTATTTAATTTTTTTACAAACAATATGGACATATTATATGAAAAGGTATTAATATCTTGTAACTAACAAATGCTAACACAAACACTTTATAAATCTTTAAGCTTCGAAATCCATATCATTTGTATTTCGAGTCATAAAACTAAAACAATATAAGACAATATGAATGATAAATACTGTCCTTTAATGACAGACTAGATTTATAGCACCTCAGTATACAGGGGTCAAAAGATGGAAGGAGTGCATAGAAGAACCTCAGTATACTATGTATAGGGGTTGAAAAAATGGGTGGTGTGCATGGAAGAACATATAGTGAATGCTTAATGATCATATATTTTTGAATAGTTTATGTCTACCTTACATGAAACACTTCTAATGATGGCTATTCAGCACTAGATTGAGAAACAAGTCAAACAACAAAACCTTTGTCACACTCTTTGTTATGTCTGTCAAGCTACAGCTGGTTCAAAAGTATTTTTTTCCCACTCAACTAAAACTTCTCCGTTTCTTTGGCTTATTTCAATAAATGATCACACATGGAACCAATTATTACTTGGGGACAACCATTGGATATTCTAGGGGGGGGGGGGGGGGGAGAGAATTTAAAAAAAATATTTACCTGGCATCGCAACTGGCAAAAAATAATCTTTCAAAAGGCAGCTTGAAAAATAAGTATCTTGACCCACAAAATGTTGGAATAGTTGTGCATGAAAAATGAAAATAAATATTCATGCACCATTGTCTCATAAAATAAATAATTGTGATAAAAAAATCATCCAGACCCCAAGAATAAAACTAGAGGCTCTAAAGAGCCTGTGTCGCTTACCTAGGTCAATGTGCATCTTCAACAATGGACACTCTCCAACATTGTGGACTAGAATAGAATTAATGACAAAAATCTCTTTTTGTTAATCTTGTATTACTGATCATTTTTTCTATTTACAGTTTCTCTCTATCTTCTTTAGTTTTTGCCCAAAACACAAAAAAGGATAAAAAAAAAAAAGTCATTTCAATGGCAATCAATCTGATAAAGTGTCTCCTAATGATTTCGGCAAAATTTTAGTAACTTGTAGATCTTGTCTTATTGATCATCTTTGCTACTTAAAAGTGTCTAAATATCACTTAAAGGTTTCAAAGTATTTAGGTATAACTCTAATAAAGAGTTGTCTGCCAATTTCAACAGTATATAACATAATTGTAGATCTCATCTTGCTGATCATTTTTGCTTATTTAAGTTTCTGTATATCTATGGCAAAGCACAAAAAAAATTGTAAAAATCATCATTAAAGGGTAATAACTCCAATAAGGAGTTTTTGGACCATTTCCTCCATATTGACTTTATAGTACATCTTGTCATGCTGATAATTTTTGCATATTTAAGTTTCTATCTATCTATTATAATTTTTAAGATATAAGGCAAAAATGCAAAAATTGGTAAAAATCATCATTCAAGGGCAAAAACTCTAATAAGGAGTCGTAAGACGATTTCCTCCATATGACTAAATAGTAGATCTTGTCTTGCTGACCATTTTTGTATATTTAAGTTTCTACCTATCTATTACAATTTTTAATATATTAGGCAAAGATGCAAAAAAATGGTATAAATCGTCATTTAAGGGCAATAACTCCTATAACAAGTTGTCTGACAGTTTTGGTGTAAATAGACAATAGGTAGAGCTCTACATTTTGAACATTTTTGCCCATGTCAGATTTTGTCAGATTTTCTCTATTGATAGCGGTTTTCCAAATAATAGACAAAACTTGCAGTTTACTCACTCACTCATCCTCTTCGTGCAGTTTACCCCTATGTTCTATTTTTAGCCATCTTGGTTGGCAGGCTAGGTCATCGGACATATTTTTTAAACTAGATAACTCAATGATGATTGTGGCCAAGTTTGATTTAATTTGGCCCAGTAGTTTCAGAGAAGATTTTTGTAAAAGTTAATGGACGATAACGACAGATGCCAAGTGATGAGAAAAGCTTACTTGGCCCTTTGAGCCAGGTGAGCTAAAAAGCAGTAAATATCTTACTAGTATATAGTCCATACCATAAAACTGTGCACTTATATTGTCTCACTGAAGTCCAAAAACTTTACCAGTATTGTATATTATCCTCTGTTTTACGTTGTGTAAAATCCAACTTAGGACAAAAGAGTATGGTGTAATTGCTAATACCGGTAATGTAAATAGAGTGAAAAAATAACTTCCGAGAGGCAAACAAAGAATTTAAAGACTGAGAATAAATTCCAATGTGAAATTGAAAAACTGATTACAGCCAAATCATTTTTACTAATTTTCGTGGATTTCGTAGACATAGGCAAACAACAAATATGAATGTTTCACAAAATAAAAATTTCCTAGTCTTTGTATGCAGATTTGGTAAAAAAATGATATCAAATATCCATCTCAATCTACGAAAAATAAATGAATCCACAGTAAGATCAGCGAAATAATTAAACAATGGTCAACCATTGATCAAGTTAATCCTCATATTCCTTAAGTTGTATTTTACCATATGATTAATCTATAAACCCTTTTAACAACATAAGCTGGGCGAGAAAATGTACTGGTCATTGTACAACTACAACATGAAGGACAGTGCACATATTTTTCTGTCAGAGTAATGGTTATTGTTATAGTCTGTAATTAACCTATAGCTATGGTCTTCAATGTACAAATATAGCCTTCTGGCCATCTGGCAAAGAAATTTGCTCAACCCAGAGTTATGGGCCACCTTGAACTTGCAGTCAGGTGAAAGCTTTTGTTTCATGTTGAAGGCCTTACTGTTATTTTGAGATGAAGAACACCAATAAAAGCACTGTTCCTTTGCTTTGTCCATTGCTTGTATGGATTTCTTGTCATGAATTAGTACACCTTATCCCTTCTTTTCCTTTCTTATTTAGAATAAGTCACCCTGTAAAAAGATTCAATTCCTATTGGTAAATGACATACACAAGTGCAACTATCCATTAGTTAGGTTGAATATATTCACAACTGTAGTGATTTGTTTGAAGAACTGGTCTAAGCTGATTCAGTTAATTAATATCCCAAATAATACAGTTGTTAATAATAGATGCTTTTACAATATATAAGCAATTCTAGTTTGTATGAACATGGCATGAAATTTTCATATTTCATATTATCATTAAAACAATTATAAAACAATACAAAATACACACTTTTAAAAACTACATATAATTTTCCGATAGAATATGAATTACAGGACGGATTTAAAGCTGTTTCCAAACAACATGACAATCATTTCATTTCTTCTACTTAATGTTAGCATTATACAGATATACCACATTAAAATCAATAAATAAGCAGAGGAACATGTAAATATCTAATTATATACATATAGCAGTGTAAAGAATCAACCTAAAACAACATTAACCTGGGGTCTAAACCCCTGAATACAGTTATACTTTAAATGACATCAACAATAACAGATCTGATTAAACTTAACAAACTATATAAATAATAATTCTATCTGATATACATTTATATGTCCAGCAGACAAAACACACTGACCATAACAATCAAGACAAAGCTAGGAACCATGAAACCAAGAAAAATATCATTAACAGAATAATCCTACAACAGAAAGATGACTTAATATCAAGTTCATACACACATAATTGTACCACACATGAAGTACATGCAACATATACATAAATCTACTTTACATTATTGACACAATCATTTAGCATTGGAATTTATACAATGCCTCCTTCAATGCCAGATTATTTTTCAAATAAGCCAAGTTTAAAATATAAATGATGTTATTTTCTTACAGACAAAAGACAAGGGGCCTTTCCGTCCTCTGGAATATTATAGTAGTAGGGCCATTTTCCTCATGGAAAATTATCAAAAGTCTTTCAATATTTACACAAATTGATTGTATCATAGTCAAACATGTGTACTTTAAAGTTCTAACAATATTTTGGCTTATTTCTAAATACATATACAACATATAAATGCCCAAAAACTGCCATTTTCAGAGATTTTGAAAAATTTTGAGCCTTTGTTTTACTTTACTTCAATACAAAATTTCTACGACATAGGTGAAATAGGTTTATAGCATAATGGTACTGGAAATTGTCTATGCCTCTGTCAGATATTGTAAGAAAGCTTCTGTAACAAACCAAGCAATACAAGATAGTGAAAAAAATGCATGTACTTCATGTGTGATCCATACAAAGTGAAACATGATATACACGTAATAGTAAAAATGTCATACAACCAAAATAAATCAACTTATAATAAGACCTTGTAAAGATCAGACATTGGTTATAACACCAATTTAATAATAAAAAAAAAAAAAATCACGACACAACTAACAACAAAAAATGAGACATACCTTTAAAATATGACAAAATTCCACATAAAATTATTATTCTTTTGTTTGCAATAACAAAAAAATACTTGAAGCAGAGGATTAAGTCACAACAATCTCTGTTCTTCTTTCAATGCAGCCTATTTAATTTTTTATGAGCAATCAGAACCCATTATTCTTATCTATATTGCAATATATGCTTTGTTTAGAAACATTACTGAAAGTCAAATTTCTGAATACAAATGATCATGTTTTCTCCATCTGGCAACAATCAAGTTTTGCTGGATTTTACTTCTTAAAGCTGGATATATTGCACAAATCTGTGACATAATTGGCACATTAATCACTATTTTATTTATACAATTAACAAAAATTTAAATACAATTACATGATTAAAATTCTACAATATGACAATAATAAACAGTGAAATTCATTTATGAACCATATTGTTTTAAAATTTCAACTTAAATACAACCACTAGTTATCAAATGCCCAGTCTATTTTCAGGATGACCAATTACCCTTTATTAATGTCTTTTTTAATTGGTCTCTTTGTTTATAAAAATTAAACTATTATAAACAACTTTAAATATGATATGTATATTTGTTTGATTGTCACATTCATTTGATCAATAACATACCTGCCACCTTTTGAAAATCCCCATGGGGGTTTTAGTGCGCGACAACAATTCTTTGCAACATATTTTGCGCGTGCTGTTTTGTGGTCTAGAAAAAGTGTCATATTTGTATGATGAGCTAACAAGCCTTTTTCTTAAGTTTATTAGCATGATTCTAGTTATTACTAATATATCAGTAGAAAAGATGAATCTGTAGCTAGAAGACCAGGATTTATTTTCTTGTGTTAGGATATTAAATGATTGTTGACGTTTAAAATTTAAAATTATGCACAAAGAAGGACTTTTATCAGGTTGGGAACAACACCCCAAATGAGGGGTAACCCCTCAATGTAAGGACATTAAAAACCAATTTTAAGTACAAATGAGCATAAATCTATCTTATTTGAAAAACTTTTTCTCAAGAATTATACATCTATCTGGTATTATATGGTCAAAACATGTCCAAGAATTTTGTAATGTTCCTGGACATTATCTTCTTTATCATGTTTATTATTAAAAATAATTGGACCCCTCATTTAGAAAAGACTTTAAAGTTGTTCCAAATATAAAGAATTTTCCCACTTTTGAGTTAAAAAATCTAAATTTTTCTTTTTTCTTTTTTACAACAGTAAAATGACCCCTTGTCTTAATGTCTTGGGGACAGTCCCTCATTTAAGGGATATACCCCTCATTTGGGGGTTTGTTCCGTACCTGTTTGTTTGGTCCTTGTGAAAAATGAAGTACAAAATGTATAGTACATTGTACTTTAAATGATTTGCCCCATTTGGTTATTTAATTGAATACAAAAATGACATATGTTACAGCAAGTGTAATGTCAATAAATTAGTGAATAAACTACTATTTATTATCTTTATGCCAAATTATGGTAGTACTGCATCATTGAATTTTGTCAATCAGCCATGCTTTTATTCTTAAGCTGTTTAAGAACCTCCTTGCAGATGAAAATTAACCTTCCATGTTCACGATTTTACAATTCAGACTAACACACAGAGCACTATACAAATCCTTGCACAGAGGAATACAACACAAGTTCAAAATATAGCATGTTAGAATAATCTTAATAGAAAACATTTTTGATTGGCTTATTAATTTGATCATGAGAAACACAGAATTTGATTGGCTGATCACGATTGTCTTCCCTTGGGAACAGTTCAATATCGGGAACAATCATATTTTTCGTGTAGATTTCACAAAATCGTGTTTTAGAGGTTTTTTCCACGATCCCGATCGTGCAATCGTGACAAAGGGTCAATATCGTGTAGTACACGCCTAAATCATGAAAGTTGGCAGGTATGCAATAAATTTATCTTGACAATACACCTTATCGCTAATCCCGGCTGACCTGAGAATCTGTCCCGCTTGAACTATTGACGTCATACAACAATCACTTTTCCATTGTGGCGTCAGATATTTTGTATTATGACGTCAAAATTTTACGGGAACCTGTGTGATGTCCAGTAATGGCGGACAAATAGCGATAAGGTGTATTCCATTGGACAATTTCTAACCTTTATCTAGAGATAAAGTTTTAAAGTAAGGTTCTGAATATAGAGATTGCTCATTACATTCTTAAACATTCAGAGTAGTATGAAAAGAAAATTAAGGATGTTCGCTACTCTGTTTCAAAATAACAAGCTTTTTAAAAGACTTTTATAAATTGATAGTATATAAATAAAGGAACTAAAAAAGCAGAAAAAAATGAAGGGTCTGTGTGCTTGTTTTCGAGATATAAGCCATTGAAAATTTGGCGGGAAATAATTCTCTCTAGACTTTTCATACATTTAACATTAGCACCCTTTTTCTTTGAAAAAATATGAAAAAATAACAAGGATTTTATAGGATTTTCAAATATAGCTTTTAAAACTATATGTAATAAAATTATGAAAAGAAAAGTAGGGGTTAGTGGGGAAATATTTTTAATGGCACTACATGGATAAAACCAGAGGATTCCGAATATCTGGCAAAATATTCAAAAACAAGAGGAGCGAACATCCTTAAAGGAATAGTATGAATCTCAATCTTAAAAATTAAAGCTCAAATAAATCTGAAACCTACAGTGGTATATAATAGCATGATTTTGTTTTGTTTCAAACATTATCATAAGCGGAATATTGAAATAATAATTTGCTCTGATTAACCAGTTTGGATCAATTTTGCAAATATATCAAGATAAAAAACATCAATGATATATTATTTTCTTGTCTTGAATAATTGTCTGATATTTTTGTAAGGCCTGTATAAATACAACCTTTAATTTGACCGTTAGCTGGAAATTGATTGGGTATGTGCTCAGGATGTTCAGTTATTAAAAAGAAAAGAATGTAAAAAATGAAAAGTGAATCAAGGGAGCAACTGGGAAGAATCATTACATTCACATATTCTGCCCACAAAAATCATTCTTACAGAGGTTAAACATATATATATATATATATATATTTTATCCATTCATAAAACCAAATAGACCTAGAAAATCATCATAATACTAGTGCACTTGCTTGTCTGTCTATTGATATTTGTATTAGTTTTTATATCCGGTCACATAACCAAAGGCAGTCTTTGTATGTCATCTCTATGGTTAATTAGATGGCATCTGGTCCTAAAATTCACACAGAATTCTGATACTTTATTACTATTCCATGCATTGTTTATTGTTTCCTATGGAACTTTTGTAATACTGGTATATATTTAAGTTTGAGTCAATTTGGGGGTAATGAATTTGTCATCTTATGCCCCTTTAAGTGGTTTGCCTTACAGCTTACTTACATAATATGAACAAAAGATGTTTGGTATATGTCAATGAGTAGCATCAAAACAACACAAAACCCCCCAAAAACATCTAGAGGTTAACACATAGTCTTCAATCAAAGTGATTGTGAGCACTGAAGGGTAAAGATTGCTTTCATTTTGCTATTTTGTGAATTTTTGAATAAAGCATTGGATTGTATTTTGCTAGGCTAGTTAAAATTGGAGTTGGAGATATCTTCCTTTGTTCATGTTTGTACATTTGTAGATGAACCTATTTTTATAACAAATTCATACACCATGCATTGCTTATGTAATTTTTAATAAAACAATGGTTTCTTGTCTAGTATGGTTATTCAAATACACATCATATTGTAACTTAAATATCAAAGTATAACATATCATCAATAAATTGCATGAAAACGACTGGATAGGGTCTAAATAATGACCACTTCACTGTACTATTTTGTTTGAACTATCAAAGGTAGTGATCAACCTACGAAGATGTAGATATCAAGCCAGTACCATAGGGTTTTGATTGAATTTCATGCAATCTTTACCCTAAAACAGATAAATAATGAAAGAACCTTAGTGAGCGCGATCACATACCCCACGTCCCCACATTGTCATTGGAGAAATAAAATAAGTGTAAGAAAAAAAAATTGTATCAGAAAAAAAAATTGAATCATAATTTCCTGTCAATTTGCACATCTACATAGTATGTCCTTATTATCTACACAGTTTCATGAAATTCTGTTGTGTGGTTTGAGAGGAGTTGCGATGACAAAATGTTGCAGTAGTATATTGGGCAAATAAGTTCAAAGGGGCGTAACTCCTGGAAAAAAAATTGAATCATAATTTCCTGTCGATATGCACATCTACGTAGTATGTCCTTATTATCTGAAAAGGTTTCATGAAATTCTGTTGTGTGGTTTGAGAGGAGTTGTGATGACAAAAGGTTGCAGTAGTATATTGGGCAAATAAGTTCAAAGGGGCATACTCCTGGAAAAAAATTGAATCGTAATTTCCTGTCGATATGCACATCTACGTAGTATGTCCTTATTATCTGAAAAGGTTTCATGAAATTCTGTTGTGTGGTTTGAGAGGAGTTGCAATGACAAAAGGTTGCAGTAGTATATTGGGCAAATAAGTTCAAAGGGGCGTAACTCCTGGAAAAAAAATTGAATCGTAATTTCCTGTCGATATGCACATCTACGTAGTATGTCCTTATCATCTGAAAAGGTTTCATGAAATTCTGTTGTGTGGTTTGAGAGGAGTTGCGATGACAAACTGTTGCAGTAGTACATTAAAGTAAATAAGTTCAAAGGGGCGTAACTCCTGGAAAAAGAATTGAATCGTAATTTCCTGTTGATATGCACAACTACGTAGTATGTCCTTATTATCTGAAAAGGTTTCGTGAAATTCTGTTGCGTGGTTTGAGAGGAGTTGCGATGACAAACTGTTGCAGTAGTACATTAAAGTAAATAAGTTCAAAGGGGCGCAACTCCTAGAAAAAAAATTGAATCGCAATTTCCTGTCGATATGCACATCTACGTAGTATGTCCTTATTATCTGAAAAGGTTTCATGAAATTCTGTTGTGTGGTTTGAGAGGAGTTGCGATGACAAGAAACAGGACTGACGGACTGAAGGACTGACGGACTGACAGACGGACGGACGGACGGGTCAAAAACATTATACCCTCCGCAACCCGTTGCGTGGGGTATAATTATAAATATGTCAGGTTTTAAATTGTCCCTCAATATATATGTATATAAAATCTAAACGACATTTCAAATAAGGATTTTCAGAAAAATATTTCATTACATGTATCGTTAAATGACAGGTCATAATGGAATAAAGTATCATATATGAGAATCATATATGCACCCTACAGACTTTAGCCAGTGATTTTTTGGAAATGGTTTACTGCAAACTAATATATAATATATTTATCTAATTTCTATGCCATTTTAACTCATAGACTCATAAAATGGTGAAAGTGTGGACACACTGAAATGTCTTGATCTGCATACTTGATTGTCAGAGTAAATATTTCATGAATATTTGGTAATATGGTTGACAGTCAGTTAGATCAAGGTATTACCAATAGGTAAGTTTTAGCTGAAGTGGTACCGTAAATGATGGTTACAAAAAGTTTCAAAAATTTAAAAATCATGCATTTCCATCTAGTTAAGATATAGTTTCATGCTTACAGAAAAATGGTATTGAAAGAAAATCTGTTAAAAGGTGAATTTTCCAAAGCCTATTGTAGATGTTAATAAAGAGATACAAATATAAATAAAATTTCAAACAAAAAACAAAGAAAAAACTATGTTAGATCTGGAATAATTTGACTGATCTCCATAATTCACGGATCCTTATCAACAACAGTCATTAGAAGTTGCTCAGAGATGATCAATTAATAAAAATGATGAAAGCAAACATCAAACGATGCAGTCTTATGTTTAAGGTCTACAGATATGTCAGCTAATGTTATTAATTGAGTTACCCTACTTCTGGCCCCATATGGACTAAACATTAAAGTACACAGGAGACTAGTATAACATAAATACACCAGGGGACTAATATATAAAAGGTTGACTAGTTATTATTTTCAAACATGCCATAATAGTAAATGATTTGTGCTATCATCACGTCCAGCGGATTCATTGGCAGAGGTGGTACGGAAATCCTCATACCCGTCACCACCACTTATCACAAGCATTCTTGTTGCCATGGTAGCTGTAGTTGCAGCAACAGAGGATCTCCGTGGCATGTCTTTTATGGCAAGGTTTTCTGGCAGTGTGGACTCTTCTTCATTATCTGTCCTACTGGAAGTTGCTGCAGCCGCTGCATTCATTTCAACACATGTTAAAAATCTAACATGTCCTGTATGTCCATACACAAGACCTACAAATATATACATATATATTATCTAACATGGCATGTATGTCCATACACAAGACCTACAAATCTATATATATATAATCTAACATGGCCTGTATGTCTATACACAAGACCTACAAATATATATATGTAGGACTCTAAAGTGCGATGGGGACGCTAAAACGCGATGGTCACGCTAAAGTGCGATGGTATGTGCTATTCATTTGAACACGCTAAAGTGCATTTTTCCGCAAAAGTATCGACGGTAGCAACATTAAACAGCATAATGACGATAATGTTTGTCCAGATTAAGGGTTTTATTACACAAGAAAAGAACGAAGAGAGAAACAAATGACCACCGTGAATCTGGGACATTTTTGGTCGTTGTTGGAAGAGGTTAACTTAATTTGTAAAATTGTAAAAAGAAATTTAATCAAAACTACTTGGGGTTCAAAAAGTCTTCTTTTTTACTTTCTAATTGAATAATTCTATTAAAAAACTAGAGGCTCTCAAGAGCCTGTGTCGCTCACCTGTATTTACTGATGCTTTGGAAATCATGTAAAATAAGGTTAAAATCATAATTAATAGTATTAGATATTAGATATTATAATGATATCTAAGATAATATAAAAAAACTGCAAAATTTTTGTAAAATTACTAACTCAGGGGCAGCAACCCAACAACAGGCTGTCTGATTCGTCTGAAAATTTCAGGGCAGATAAATCTAAATCTGATGAACATTTTTGCCACCTGTCAGATTTGCTCTAAATGCTTTAGTTTCAGAGATATAAACCAAAAACTGCATTTTACCCCTATGTTCTATTTTTAACCAAGTGGGCCATGATGGTTGGAAGGCTGGGTCATCGGACAAATTTTTTAAACTAGATACCCTGATAATGATTATGGGCAAGTATGGTTAAATTTGTCTCAGTAGTTTCAGAGAAGAAGATTTTTGTAAAAGATTACAAAAATTTACAAAAAATTGTTAAAAATTGACTATTAAGGGCAATAACTCCTAAAGGGGTTGACTGACAATTTTGTTCATGACAACTTATTTGTAGATCTTACTTTGCTGAACATTATTGCTGTTTACAGTTTATCTCTATCTATAATAATATTCAAGATAATAACCAATAAAATGCTCCGCAGGGCGCAGCTTGATACGACCGCAGAGGTCGAACCCTGAACAGTTGGGGCAAGTATGGACACAACATTCAAGCTTGATACAGCTCTGAATTTGGATTATGATTAAATATTTGACACAGCATAGGTTTCTGACACAGAATGAATGTGGTCTAAGAACTTAAAAATTTAAAATTGGACATTCACATATTATGGTCCAATATCCAAAATCTAAATACATGGTTAGATTCAGCATATCAAAGAACCCCAAGAATTCAATTTTTGATGAAATCAAACAAAGTTTAATTTTGGACCCTTTTGACCTCAATGTGGACAAAGTTGATAACGGGGCCCAAAAATCTAAATACATGGTTAGATTCAGCATATCAAAGAACCCCATATATTCAATTTTTGTTGAAATCAAACAAAGTTTAATTTTGGACCCCGATTTGGACCAACTTGAAAACTGGGCCCATAATCAAAAATCTAAATACATGTTTAGATTCAGCATATCAAAGAACACTAAACATTCAATTTTTGTTAAAATCAAACTAAGTTTAATTTTGGACCCTTTGGACCTTAATGTACTCTAATTTGAAAACGGAACCAAAAATTAAGAATCTAAATACACGGTTAGATTCGGCATATCAAAGAACCCCAATAATTCAATTTTTTATGAAATCAAACAAAGTTAAATTTTGGACCCTTTGGACCTCAATGTGGACCAATTTAAAAACGGGGCCCAAAATCCAAAAACTTAATACACGGTTATATTCAGCATATTAAAGAACCCCAAGAATTCAAGAATAAAACCCCATTGAAATTGATCAAGAAATAAGCAATTTATAAGAAGTATCTTCTTTTGCACAATACTGTGCAATTGAATATTTCTTGCTATTGCGCAATACTGTACAATTGACAATTTCTTGCTATTGCGCAATATTGTGCTATTGGATATTTCTTGCTATTGCACAATACTGTGCAATTGAAGATTTCTTGCTATTGCGCAATACTGTGCAATTGAAGATTTCTTGCTATTGTGCAATACTGTGCAATTGAAAATTTCTTGCTATTGCACAATACTTATTATATAAAAATTTACACATCCTGTTTGGTGTGTATCTCCTACAATATCATTATTATTTGCTTTTAAATATAAATCAGAAATAACCAACTTAAAATGGAAAATTTTAAAAGAAAAAAAAAAGGAAAAAAAGAAAAAAAAAGAAAAAAAAAAAAAAATCCCCCCCCCAAATTTTTTGAACCCCCTTATGATTCATCACCCCCAAACTCAATCCCAGCCTTCCCTTTGTGGTATGGTACCTTGCAGTACAATTTCAGAGAGATCCATACACTTGAACACAAGTTATTGTCTTGAAACTAGAAAAATGCTTATTTTTGGCCCCTTTTTGGCCCCCAATTCCTAAACATTTCAGGCAATTACCCCCGAACTCAATTCCAGCTTTCCCTTTGTGATATGAAACCTTGTAGTACAATTTCAGAAATATCCAAACACTTACACACAAGTTATTGTCATGAAACTAGAAAAATGCTTGTTTTTTGCCCCTTTTTTGGCCCCTTATTCCTAAAATTTTGAGGCAAATACCCCCAAAATCAATTACAGCCTTCCCTTTGTGATATGGAACCTTGTGGTACAATGTCAGAGAGATCCATACACTTACACACAAGTTATTGTCTGAAAGTTACAAAATGCTTATTTTTGGCCCCTTTTTGGCCCCTAATTCCTTAACTGTTGGTACCATAACCCCCAAAATCAATCCCAACCTTCCTTTTGTGGTATTGAACCTTATGGTAAAATTTCATGGAGATCCATTCACTTAAACTAAAGTTAGAGTGCGAAAACCAATGTGTCTTCGGACGACGCTGGACGACGCCAGACGACGACGACGACGAAGCCAACGTCATACCAATATACGACCAAAAAATTTTTAATTTTTGCGGTCGTATAAAAACTGCAAAATTTCCTTAAAATTACCAATTCAGGGGCAGCAACCCAACAACAGGTTGTCAGATTTGTCTGAAAATTTCAGGGCAGATAGATCTTGACCTGATAATCAGTTTTACCCTATGTCAGATTTACTCTAAATGCTTTGGTTTCAGAGATATAAGCCAAAATCTACATTTTCCCCCTATGTTCTATTTTTAGCCATAGTGGCCATCTTGGTTGGTTGGCGGGGTCATCGGACACATTTTTTAAACTAGATACCCTAATGATGCTTGTGGCCAAGTTTGGTTAAATTTGGCCCAGTGGTTTCAGAGGAGAAGATTTTTGTAAAAAGCTAACGACGACGACGACGGACGCCAAGTGATGAGAAAAAAATCAATATGGTTTGTTATTTCTGTTAAATAATGAATATACGTCAACTAGACAGCAACCTAACGAACAGATGTGTTGTAGCATCATATGATTGCCAATAAGACAACTCTCTAGACAAACCCTTATGTCATTAATTTATGCAACTTTAGGTTATAGTATGAACTTTAAAGCGGCGCATAGGATTCTATTAAGACCAAAGGGCTTAAAAAAAAATCAATGGTAAAACAATTCAAATGAGAAAAAAAACCAACCTGATTTAAATACAAAACAATAAACCAACAGCAAATATGAACAAGAAATGATTGTAACAGGATGCTGTTACGAAGTCTCCCAAACGAAGCTCTCATAATTCATAATTCCCAGGGTCGCCTGACATGGGCAACGTCCAGTGAAAATTGGTTTGGTCCAGTAAAGTTATATGCATTAGTGATGCCTGGGGACTAACCTTGTATATCATTCAAATCATCTTGGCATGACAAACCAGAATATATATGGTTTAGGGGTGGGGATCTCGACAATTTACAAGATACTAGAACATTGGGGATGGGGAGGAACCCCTGGGGACTGACCCTATATCAGGGCTCGACAATTACGCTTGTCCGATTGTCCGGTACCAGAGGAAAAAAAAGTCGGACAAGTAAAAGCTAGATCAAGGTTGTCCGACGGGACAAGTAAAATCATTTTGTAGAAAAAAAATTAAATCCAACTTTGATGAACAAAGTATTGAGTAATAAACAAAAAACAAGAAAAGATAAAAACAAATATTAATTTGACATGTTTACCATGTTTACTTGCAATCGATAATTTAAAACTGGTCCTTTGACAGATACTTTATAACAGATAAAACGCTAATATTCTAGGAAACCAGTCTTAGATGAAATCAAGAATGCGCTTTGTAGATAAGGTAACAAGACAGTTCGGCACCGGCACGGAAACCAATCCTTCCATGTTTAATAGACAGTATGGCACCGTAGGAGACATTTCGGGACCAAGCCAACCAGTACCTCATTTCCCTACCTTTTTCTGTTGCTTATATATAATTATAATAAATATGATAAATTTTATTTAACAAAAATATTTTTTAAAATAAAAAATGAAGAAATTATTGACCATAAAATTCACAGAATCATATTTGATCATATGTATATAGACAAAACAATACTTGATTGCGTTTGAATAAACATTTTAATATATTAAAAACAAAGCTGTTTGTTGTAAGGCATTAATCATAATAATCAATATTTTACCAACATGAAAGACCAGGATACAAACCAAATGAGTGTAGACTGACAGGCCTACCAGACTGTGCCTCATGTGCAGAGTCTGATGAGACTTTGGCATTGATGAAAACTAGAACCTAAATCCTGTGACATGACTTGATTCAGTTGTTCTCGACTCATATTTTTGAAAAGGATATCAAGAGATATAAATCAAATTCTATTCTTATGTTCATTGAATCAACTTAAAATGCAAAAAAGGTTAATATTACTGAGTTTTTTTTGGACAAGTTACAATTTCATTTGGACAAGTAAGTTTTGATGTGTACTTGTCCTATTGGGCAAGTTGAAAAAAAAGTTATTGTAGAGGCCTGTATATGTCATTCAAATGTTCATTACATGACGAACAGGAATATATATGGTTTAGGGGTGGGGATCTCAACCATTTACAAGATATTAGAACATTGGGGGTGGGGGGAACCCCTGGGGACAGACCGTATATGTCATTCGAGACATGACAAATAGGAATATATATGGTTTAGGGGTGGGGATCTCAACCATTTACAAGATATTAGAACTTTCTCAAATGGCAGGGGGTCGGGATGACCCCTGGGGACTAACCCTGTAAATCATTCAAACCATCTTCACATGACAAACCAGAATATATATGGTTTAGGGGTGGGGATCTTGACCACTTACAAGATATTAGAACTTTCTTAAATGGCAGGGGGTGGGGGTGACCCCTGGATACTAACCCTGTATATCATTCAAACCATCTTAGCATGACAAACCAGAATATATATGGTTTAGGGGTGGGGATCTTGACCACTTACAAGATACTAGAACTTTCTTAAATGGCAGGGGGTGGGGGTGACCCCTGGGGACTAACCCTGTATTTCATTTGATGTGCTTTATCATGACAAACCAGAATATATATGGTTTAGTGGTGGGGATCCCGACCATTTACAAGATATTTGAACTTTCTCAAATGGCAGGGGGTCGGGATGACCCATGGGGACCAACCCTGTATATCATTCAAACCATCTTAGCATAACAAACCAAAATATATATGGTTTAGGGGTGGAGATCATGACCACTTACAAGGTATTAGAACTTTCTTAAATGGCAGGGGGTGGGGGTGGCCCCTGGGGACTAACCTTGTATTTCATTTAATGGGCTTTATCATTTAGAACATTTTCAATTAAAAAGATTGTGTCTATCACAAACGGTTTTCAATTTATAATTATTTGAAAATTTTAAAAAATAAAATCCCATAGGGTTCTATAGTAAAACCCTCTTTTCTTTTTGCCCCTCAAAGTACCCCTTTATAAACCCCCTTGCACAAACAAAACCCTGATTGCACCACTAGACATGTTAGTCTAACATATTGTGAAACCCTAAGTTAATCTGACAAGCGGTTTTGGAGAACGGGTGTGGACAAGTTCAAATTTAAAAGCGGTGGAAGAAGAAGAAGAAGAAGAAGAAGAAGAAGATAAAGAAGAAGAAGAAGAAGAAGAAGAAGAATAATAATAATAATAAGAACTGAGCAAAAACAATAAGTCTTCCCAAACTTCGTTTGGGAGACTTAAATATACCAACAAACGACTACCACTAAGGGAGCTACCATTTGATTTTTATGGATGCATTTTTTTTTTAGTTGTAATCTCTGTCCTGCCTTTTTATTTTTCACTCTATTCGGTTCTGCCTTTTTTTATTTAGTTTATCCTGATTTTTTTATGCCCCACCTACAATTGTAGAAAAGGGCATTATGTTTTCTGGTCTGTGCGTCTGTTCGTTGCTTCATCCGTCCGTTCGTCCGTCAGTTGGTCTGTCCCGCTTCAGGTTAAAGTTTTTGGTCAAGGTAGTTTTTGATGAAGTTGAAGTCCAATCAACTTGAAACTTAGTACACGTTTCCTATGATATGATCTTTCTGATTTTAATGCCGAATTAGAGTTTTGACCCCAATTTCACGGTTCACTGAACATAGAAAATGATAGTGCGAGTGGGGCATCCGTGTACTATGGACACATTCTTGTTTTACATAAATTGTCATCCTGCCTTTCTTTACTCCAAACTCCTGTCTTACCTTTTTTTCAAATTTCATCCTAGCCCACCTCCCCATAAAAAATCAAATGGTAGCTCCCTAAATTCCGGATATACTAACAAATGCAATGTAACCATTACACTTTTTGTACTTTAAATAAAAAATAAGAAGATGTAGTATGAACTATCCATCCAACCCCAAATGTCGTTTGTGTATGCAACTAATAATCATAAGGCCTTCAACGTAAAGCCTTGGCCCATAACGCATGATCAGCTATATAGGGTTATACAATGACTAGTGTAAAACCATTCAAAAGAGAAAGACTACGGCTTGATATATAAATAAAACAATAAGCGAAAAGGTAATAGGAACTCAGCAACAAACGAAAACAAGTGCCTGAGAGTCGGACACTGGATTCATGTCATGATCAAGATAATGTAGACAATGGCCTGTATGTCTATACACAAGACCTACAAATATATACATATATAATCTAATATAGCCTTTATGTCTATACACAAGACCTAAAAATATATACATATATAATCTAACATAGCCTGTATGTCTATACACAAGACCTACACACATATATATATATATAATCTAACATGGCCTGTATGTCTATACACAAGATCTACAAATATATATATATATATTTAAAAAATCTAACATGGCCTGTATGTCCATACACAAGACCTACAAATATATATATATATATATAATCAAACATGGCCTGTATGTCCATACACAAGACCTACAAATATATATATACCATCTTTTCTGCAAGTTTAATGTTTTCTGTTTGATATTAAATTAATATCTAAGATCCATTTTGTTACATCTGGTGATCATTTTATTTGGCAATTGCCAATGGCAGTCAGCAGGGTTTAAGAACATCCGTTGTTCGACCTGATAGTCAAATGCATTTTGTTAAAACATACTTTGTCACTTTTTTGGTCTTTTGGAAAATGTTGTTTGTGCTGTATTTAGACCCCTTTACCAAGAAATTTGTTTTGCATGCACACGTATAAAAATTGCGGTTTTTATCCAACGCAATCATAGGTTTGAACATTGTTTTCAATTTAGACTTGTTTATATATATGTATATATAAATATATAAAATCTAACATGGCCTGTATGTCCATACACAATACCTACACACATATATATATATATATATATATAAATGCCTTCGGGTTTATATGATCCGTTCATCCTATTTCGACTCTTCAAAATTCAACTCTATCCTAAATTGAGGTAATTTATATGGCCTTCCAAATACTATTTCGATTCATAACATCACTGAAGAGACATTAATTGTCGAAATCCGGATATGGTGTACTAATTTTTGCACCTTTTGTTTGCAGTATACCATCTTTTCCGCAAGCTTATTGTTTTCTGTTTGGTATTAAATTAATATCTAAGATCCATTTTGTTACATCTGGTGATCCGTTTATTTGGCAATCTCCAATGGCAGTCAGCAGGGTTTAAGAACATCCGTTGTTCGACCTGTTAGTCAAATGCGTTTTGTTAAAATATACTTTTTCACTTTTTTTGGTCTTTTGGAAAATGTTGTTTGTGCTGTATTTAGACCCCTCTACCAAGAAATTTGTTTTGCATGCACACATACAAAAATTGCAGTTTTTATCCAACGCAATCATAGGTTTGAATGTTATTTTCAATTTAGACTTGTTTATATATATATCTAAACATATTTCCCCCCCAAAGATCTCCTCAGGTCAATTTATTATATGGTGAAAAAAACTTACCTTTTTTGCAATGTAATAAATAGCTTAACAGTCACAAACTATTGAAATATCACATCCTACTTTTTTACAGTGATGTTGTTTATAGAGCCAATAAATAGATATGATCCATGTAAACTTCAGTACTGACATTGATTTTATTTAACTAAATATGTATATCTATACAGTTATGAACATTTGTATATCCTGTCGATACTTTAACATTGCACAAGGCTTTTCTCAGATTGTATATGACGTCTTAACACTAAATCCATTGTATACTTTATATTCGTACTAAGAACAACAAAATTATTTCCGTACTCCATGTATACCTTACAACAAAATTATTTTTATTTAACTGTGAACTTTATTTTATTTGGCGGCATTTTGTCCATGGTTATGGTTGTCTTTCTGATATTGTTTTACATCTAACCCCCTTGTTTTATTAATTTTGTATTAACATTGTGTCATAGATCAAATTTATCCATTCAGTGTATGTTCACTTGTTTTTGTTAATATGTCTTTTGATTGAGTTAAGCCATTTCAATTGATATTTTATAGTGTGTCTTTCTATGTTGTGATGTTACACTATTGTTTCAGGTAGGGTGAAGGTTGGCACCTATTAAAACGTTTAATCCCGCTGCATTTGTTTGTACCTGTCCTAAGTCAGGAACCTGATGTTCAGTGGTTGTCGTTTCTCGTTTTTTATATGGATTAGACTGTTGGTTTTCCTGTTTGAATGGTTTTACACTAGTCATTTTTGGGGCCCTTTATAGCTTGCTGTTCGGTGTGAGACAAGGCTCCCTGTTAAAGGCTGTACTTTGACCTATAATGGTTTACTTTTACAAATTGTGACTTGGATGGAGAGTTGTCTCATTGGCACTCATACCACATCTTCTTATATCTTTTTACAGTCATAAATGGTTTGCAACTTAATAATATTTATATATTAGGTTTATTCTGAGGTTACAACACCTTATGTTCTTCTATGGTATTTACTTGAAAAACAAATATGACAAGAACAACTATTGATTTCCTCATCAAGTCAACATGAAGTATTAGAAACCTGTGTTTTTCTAAACACCAGATCTTTTTGGCCTATTTCTAGTTTATATGGCTATTCTCTAACTCATAAGTTGTTGTAGATATAAACTTTTATGAGTATAGTTATTCTCTGATCACTTGAGGTTGTATATATTACCCTACATGACTGCAGTTGTTAAATGGCTTTTAATTATTTTTACCTGTTACTGAGGGGGCTGTCATTTGACCTCTTGTTGTTGTAGATGTAATTCTTGGCATTGGTATGGTAAGAATAACACCAGCACTAGTTCCAACCCAAAGAAGATCTTTACAAATTAACAAGGCAGTTATACGTAAACATGCAGCTTTGTGTTGTCTAATAATGTCATCTGCAGCTGAAAGAATCATAAACAAAACTGTTAACACAGAGATATGTCTTAACTGCTTTGAACAGTAACAAGAGTATTTCAATAAAATGCCATATTACTGCAGGTACATGTGGAGTGGATATCCCTTTTAGAGTATTTCAAAAACTTTCCTGATCAGAAAACTCAACATTGAACAAGGTAATCTTTCAAGCAATGGAGAGCATAAAAAAAATGCATTGGCCTTGACAATATCCTTGCAAATGAGATACATGTATTTGGATTTTATAAGAAGTACCCCCATTATAAGTAAACAGGATGTTGATAAGCAATGGTTATGCATCACATGCTCACATGAAGCTGGATACCAAATTCACATTGTTGTCAATATAATGAAATTCTATGCAACTTTCATACAAGTGAGAGGTTTAGCTTACTATAAAACTAGGTTTAAGCCACCATTTTCTTCATAAGGAAATGTCTGTACCAAATCAGGAATATGACAGTTTTATTCCACTGTATGTAAATATTGATAGCAAAATCAACATTTGATTGGTTGAGACTATCACACTTGACATCGAACAAAACTTCATATTCCCCTCTGAACATCGGGACTTCCTCGACGTTACGCATGGTTGATGTACATAACGTTTTCAACAGATATTATAGTAAAGTTATTATTGTGTTCAAAATTATTTCAGATGTTAAAATAAAAAGAATAAATAATTATAACTTTTGATCGTAATGGTTTATCAATGTTTATGTCGTGTTTAGCTATACAAACAAACGTATAAGAAAAAATGTATGTAGATTAATATTTTATGTTCAGGTAGTAAGGAAAGTATAGACAGTGGTATAAAACATTCATTTCCCTTTACTTCGTGAGATACAAAGATTTTTTTACCCTCTAAAAGTCTTATTTCCCTCGGGCAAAGCCCTCGGGATACAAGAATTTTCTTGGGTGAACAAATCTTCATATCTCCCTCAGGCACGGGAAATAAATGTATAGTATTCCATTCGTTTCATGTTTTTGCGCTTTTGATTTTGCCATTTGATAAAGGACTTTCCATTTTGTATTTTCCTTGGAGTTTTGTATTTTTGTTATTTTTCTTTTTTCAAAAAGCTCAGACTTGTTCTGGATAAAAAAGTGACAAAATATTCATTGGATGGGTGGTCTGATAGATGTATACAAGGTTAAAGAAGGGCTATAATATGAATTAAACATTTGAATAATGTGAAAAATCCAAAAGCCACTAAATAATTATTGAGGGTGGAAACTATAATTGAAATTAAAGGATGTCAATACAACAAAAAAACAAATTTAAATGGTCTGGAAAAATTACTGTTTACAAACAAACTTAATAACAAAACTTCTTAATCATCCAGATTTTATATTACTCCCACAATCTTCTGCTGTTGTTGTCTTAAAAGTTGAAAAAAATGGAAACCAAGCATGTTCATTCCGTTTTAAAATAAGCTACACATATTGTATGGTTAGATAATTAGTTGAACATGGCCCTTCACTACTTTCTTTTTTTGGAACATTTATCAGGTACCATTTACTATAATAAAATTACAAAACAAAAACATCAAAGTTTTGGGTAAACATGTGGAAATAATGGTAACAACAGTTTTTTGTTTTATATAAAAAATAAAAATTCTCTGGTGCTAGCTAATGCACATCATTATTATGAGTAAGAATAAACATAGGCTCATTTTATGTTACAACAGTTGCAAAAGAGGACCTTATGAACATTCATGCATTGTTCATGAACTTTGATGAATAGTTCATGACATTCATGAATTTCATCTGGAAGGGTAGTGAGTACCATATTTGCTATCCAATCAATATTAATTGAGGACTGTATGAAGGTATAAAACCACTAATTCATAGCCCCATTGCTTTCTATGTTAAATTCTGCAATTTCAAGCATAAATGGCTACTTTATCTTAATTTCAAATAAAGTGGCAGTTATTTCATGTCTAAACTGTACCTTATGCTGACTTGTGCTGAAAAAATCAACATACCTTTAATTGCATATTAGAGCGTACTGGTTCCCGGAAGTTTGATAGTACAAAAACAGGAACTTCTGATCTGAACAACAGGCCAAATGAGCCCTCCTATTAAAATTTCCTATACTTCTTTATTATTCAAATAAAACTTTCAACAAGGGTTCTACAGTGACCCCAAGTCCCCAACCTTTCATTTGATACTAAAACTACCCAAATATTTCCACTATTGACAAAGATGCAGCTATGCGTAGGAACTATTTTGCTTAAAATATGTACTACTTTCTTGTATGTTCTTTCCGACCGGGCCTGAATTAGTGGTTCTATACCTATAACAGCACCAACTTTGTTATATTGACTTCTGCTTGACTTTATTTCCTTCTATGATCTATTTTTAGCATAGAAAAACACATAAAGCTTTTGTCAAAACACTATATCACTGAATTCAAGCTCAAATTGGACTGGTATTAACATATGCGTTAAACAAAGAAAACTACATATGGATACTAATAGTGACAGATATGACACTTTTTCAATTTTTACCAGTTCTGATTTGTTAATATCTACTCAAATAACAGTGTTCTTACCTATATGTCTTATTTTTATCAGAGATTCTTCCTTGAATATAAATACAGTGGTCCAAACATAAAATATAATTGATAATTTTGTCCCCCCTTTTTTCTACATGTTGGAAAAGGAGAGTGATTTGGTAAAAAAAACCATACTTTTATGTATAAACATGGATCAACAAGAGCAATTTATGTATCTCCAAGCTAGACAACTTGCTAAAATGGTCATAAAATGCATTTCAAGTGAGATTTTGGAATTCCTATATAAGTATACACCAATAATCCTTGAAATAAATAATTCACCAAGAAACACAATAAAACATGAACACTCACTAGATAATATGACCAAAAACAATATTTATACTATAAACTAGTCATAATATACAAGTTTTATTGGTTTCAGTGTTAGATAATCCAAAAATTTAAATTTCAGGTAAAATCTTAACTGTGTGCATGCTAAATGACCAAAAAAGGCTAAAATACCTTCTTGTAGTAATTTGAGGGCTGTAATTTGACACTAAAATAATTGTTACATAAAAAAAATAATGTAACATGATTTCTGACAACAAATGTGACCAATTTTCACTGTAAAGGGTATGATTTCTAAAAATAGAATTTCACATGCCTGTCAGTAATAGGTATAAAACCACTAATTCATAGCCCCATTGCTTTCTATGTTAAATTCTGCAATTTCAAGCATAAATGGCTACTTTATCTTAATTTCAAATAAAGTGGCAGTTATTTCATGTCTAAACTGTACCTTATGCTGACTTGTGCTGAAAAAATCAACATACCTTTAATTGCATATTAGAGCGTACTGGTTCCCGGAAGTTTGATAGTACAAAAACAGGAACTTCTGATCTGAACAACAGGCCAAATGAGCCCTCCTATTAAAATTTCCTATACTTCTTTATTATTCAAATAAAACTTTCAACAAGGGTTCTACAGTGACCCCAAGTCCCCAACCTTTCATTTGATACTAAAACTACCCAAATATTTCCACTATTGACAAAGATGCAGCTATGCGTAGGAACTATTTTGCTTAAAATATGTACTACTTTCTTGTATGTTCTTTCCGACCGGGCCTGAATTAGTGGTTCTATACCTGAAGAGGGTCTTCCAAGCATCAATTCTATATAAAGTTTTTAACATTTGGCATTGCATTTTCAAAATAAAATAAAACTATTCTTATATAAACCAATATTTGCAGATAGTGACTTTGAGAATTTAAGATCATTATCAGTGTTCCAGCTAGGTCGTTTTCACAGGGCGGTCCGCCCGCCCTTTCCCGAGTGCCGCCCTGTGCCCTTTTTACAGTTTGCAGGGCGCCCTGCCTTTTTTGAAGATCGATTGGTATATTATTTTGTTCGTATTGATATGATCAGCCAATTGGTGAATTACGAAAATTTACCTGGCGACAAGTATATGACTTTGTTTACGACCCCAAGCTAATCAACGGTTACAACAGGTGTCATAATCTGTTGTTATAGGTAATCCATTTATCGGATGGGTCATTTAATGATCATCAACATTAATTCATTCAAATAGAATCTGTCAGTCGGCATTTGTCTTTGAACTTGAAGAAATTTTCATACAACTTGGGCACAATTAGCAATGTTTACCGTAGTTTCATGGAGAAAACGTAATTGACAGAAAGTCGAAAACCATAATCAACTTGTTAAAAACATTGCTATTATTGTTTTCCGTGAAATAAATTTTTCATTGACTGCCTTCATTTTTTATACGAAAATAACAAAATCGGCCGCCATATTGTTGATTGTATTTACATCTTCTACGTACTGTTTATTATCCTCCAAAGAAGGAGCACACCCAAATAAAGAAAGATAACTCAATCTTATTTTTTCCTAGCATTGAGTAACCTACTAAGATATTATAAAATATGTCTTCATACTTCTGGCTTTAGAATTTATATGTTTAGGTTAATGAGTTATGGGAAAAGTTAAAGAGGGTCTTAGTAGCAGGGTTGGTAGGGTGCCTTGGTCATCTTTTTCTGTATTTTTTATTTTTAATCCAAATTTTCGCTGTTCACTATATCCTTACATTGTGCATTTACAGCTGTTTTGTGCTGTATTGCCATTAAGCACAGAAAAGGTAGAAAGGTTAAACTTGTAAAGTGTGTCAGACCATAGAAACAGAATGAAGCAGGACATTTTTCAAAAAATACTGCATATAAAGCTTAACTGTGCCAAGCAATGATTTAAAACTTGTGTGACAAGCTGCTTGACAAGTTTTCAGCCTAAAAAGTAGAAGGATAGTTTTTCTCTGGGCTAATGATGTTGTTCTTGTATATATATAACCAGTGATTCAATGAACAAACAATTTTTGATTATAATCTTTTTTAAAAACATGCCCTTTTCATATTATCATATCACGCGTTAAATGCCCTTTTTCAGGATTGGCACCCTGCCCTTTTGAAATCCTAGCTGGAACACTGATTATATATAGAGTGGGGCGCACATATTCGCCGGGGACACAATTTCGCCGTTTTATGATTTTGAGGTGTTGAAACTTCAAAGGATTGCTGAAATGGAAGAAATATGCCGGTAAATTATATTTTTATAACAAATATGATTATTTTTTAAACTTAGAAAAAATTTCGGCACTTACCGCAAAGGACCGAAAAACGGACAACGATTTTCGGCCAATTTCCTGAATGAAAAAAAAAGATTTCAAAGAAGTATTTCTTAGTAATTCTTTGACTGATTGCCCTAAATTTCACTTCTTTACACGTTTGAAATGTCTGCTATTCATCTATAATGAAATTGATTTGATAAATATAGTTTAAAGCTGCAGTTATTTGGTTTTAAATAGGTGTGTTAAAACGGCAAATATGTGTCCCCGTATGACAAAATATCAGGAAATTTCAAATAGCCTTTAATCTAACTTTTCAGATGACTTTTTCAGAGAAACACGTTTTCAAGCTAAGGATATTTTGCTTTTGATGTTATCTTCATATAGAAATATCAGTATACTTCAAAAATTTAAAGGTCTGAACATAAACTGCAGAAAACATGGAAAATTATGGTGAAAATGAGCACCCCACTCTAGCTATGTCTCTCTGTAACAATTTTTATCTCAGGTGAGACAATACAATATTGGATGCAATTTAAAAGTACACTTTAAAATTGATGAATGTTTTCAATATTTACATTGCAACTTCTGTGTGACAGCATGGGCTATATTTACTTCCAGCAGGAACTCATAAGATGTAGCATGATGTAACAAGACCTTTGAACTCTGGTGTGGTGCAATCCAGACTCCCTGTCCTGCTGTCACCATACACTGAACAGATCTGTTGGAATCTTGGCTTTCTTGAAATGATGACTGTATATAAAAAAAATAATCTTTGATGATCGTTATATAAAAAATGTCTAAATCCATCTTGGTGCCCCAATCCTCATCTTCAAAAAAGAGAAAGTTATCTTAAATTTGAGTTTAAAGTCCCATAACTCTGGAATGAAAATTTGAAAATTTAAACAATAGAGTAGAATTTGAAGCAAATGGGCAAAGCATAAGCAAATAACTGACTGATTTGTGAGAAATTACCCTAAATCTGATGTTTAAATTCCCATAAAAATGACAAATTTGAAAGGGAGCTTTCTTTTATCAATCTAAACAATGGTGCAACACTTTATTTCCAGAATGAGAGATGTAAGGACAGACAGAGAAAAGGTCAGACAGAATGAAAACCTATAACCCCATTCTGCTTCATGGTAGGGAACTAACAGCAACCACAAATAATGAGACAATCAGAGAGTATTGCTTAGACCTTTTGTGTAAAATTTTAGAATAGAATTACAAAAAAAGGTAGGTTGTAATGGGCAATAAAAACAGTTTGACTGTCAAAATAAATTTTAAACACATGTAGGTTTGTTTTAGTTACCTCTATTCTTAGAGTCAATGGATTTATAACATTAATCATGTTCTGACAACCACACCATAATTTTCCAGCAACAGCTAACATCCGATTGATTGGTGAAGTCACAGTTCCAATGGTACGTGTGTATGGATTTTCTGTATCCCATATACCTTCTGTATCTCTTTTATACACTATTAAATCTCCATTGGCTAATGAAACAAATACTTTGTTATCTAGATAACTGAAAAACAAATAATATTATTGAAATGTCTTTTACATCAACAAATTCTAATGCAAGGTTGAGTGTACCATAAATTTTAAAACAACAATAGTAGTTTACCAATGTTCAAATCTTGTAAATCCATTTCAATATACAAACCAAAAAAATAAAATATTGAAGGAATCACATGTACTTCAAACAGAGTGAAACTGGATGTGTCAACAGGGTAAGCCACTCCTGCTATGTATGCATCACCTGCCAACTGAATCCAGATTCAGTCAACAGGGTGAGCCACTCCTGCTATGCCTACATCACCTGCTAACTGAATCCAGACTCGTTCAACAGGGTAAGCCACTCCTGCTATGTATGCATCACCTGCCAACTGAATCCAGATTCAGTCAACAGGGTGAGCCACTCCTGCTATGCCTACATCACCTGCTAATTGAATCCAGACTCGGTCAACAGGGTGAGCCACTCCTGCTATGTATGCATCACCTGCTAATTGAATCCAGACTCAGTCAACAGGGTGAGCCACTCCTGCTATGCCTACATCACCTGCTAATTGAATCCAGATTCAGTCAACAGGGTGAGCCACTCCTGCTATGCCTACATCACCTGCTAATTGAATCCAGACTCAGTCAACAGGGTGAGCCACTCCTGCTATGCCTGCATCACCTGCTAATTGAATCCAGACTCAGTCAACAGGGTAAGCCACTCCTGCTATGCCTATATCACCTGCTAATTGAATCCAGACTCAATCAACAGGGTGAGCCACTCCTGCTATGTATTCATCACCTGCTAATTGAATCCAGACTCAATCAACAAGGTAAGCCACTCCTGCTATGTATTCATCACCTGCCAATTGAATCCAGACTCAATCAACAGGGTAAGCCACTCCCGCTATGTATTCATCACCTGCCAATTGAATCCAGACTCAATCAACAAGGTAAGCCACTCCTGCTATGTATGCATCACCTGCTAATTGAATCCAGACTCAGTCAACAGGGTAAGCCACTCCTGCAATGCCTACATCACCTGCTAATTGAATCCAGACTCGGTCAACAGGGTGAGCCACTCCTGCTATGTATTCATCACCTGCCAATTGAATCCAGACTCAATCAACAGGGTAAGCCACTCCTGCTATGCCTACATCACCTGCCAATTGAATCCAGACTCGGTCAACAGGGTGAGCTACTCCTGCTATGCCTACATCACCTGTCAATTGAATCCAGACTCAGTCAACAGGGTAAGCCACTCCTGCTATGCCTACATCACCTGCTAATTGAATCCAGACTCGGTCAACAGGGTGAGCCACTCCTGCTATGTATGCATCACCTGCCAATTGAATCCAGACTCAGTCAACAGGGTGAGCCACTCCTGCTATGCCTACATCACCCACTAATTGAATCCAGACTCGGTCAACAGGGTAAGCCACTCCTGCTATGCCTACATCACCTGCTAATTGAATCCAGACTCGGTCAACAGGGTGAGCCACTCCTGCTATGTATGCATCACCTGCCAATTGAATCCAGACTCAATCAACAGGGTAAGCGACTCCTGCTATGTATGCATCACCTGCCAATTGAATCCAGACTCGGTCAACAGGGTAAGCCACTCCTGCTATATATATTAAAAGAAGATGTGGTATGATTGCCAATGAGACAACTCTCCACAATAGACCAAATGACACAGAAATTAACAACTATAGGTCACCATACGGCCTTCAACAATGAGCAAAGCCCATACCGCATAGTCAGCCATAAAAGGCCCCAAAATGACAAATGTAAAACAATTCAAACGAGAAAACTAACGGCCTAATTTATGTACAAATAATGAACGAAAAACAAATATGAAACAGAGCAACAAACAACAACTGCTGAATTACAGGTTCCTGACTTTGGACAGGCACATACAGAATGTGGCGGGGTTAAACTACTTAAACTATGCCTACATCACCTGCCAATTGAATGCGGACTCAGTCAACAGGGTAAGCCACTCCTGCTATGTATGCATCACCTGCCAATTGAATCCAGACTCGGTCAACAGGGTAAGCCAATCCTGCTATGTATGCATCACCTGTCATGTGAATCTAGACTCAATCAAAATATCACAATAGGGAATTGAACATAAAGTACAGTTTTGAATTCCATGTGTAACTGCAGTGACGACAGGTTTGCTTATAGAATACAACTTTAAGTGATAGTTGCAAAAAAATCAAAATGGAATAGACAAATGAAAAGAAATCAATCTTTTTTTGTCCAATCAATTAAGAAAAGAATTAAAGAACCTTTGTGAGCTTGCTCACATACCCCACACCCCTCATTGTCAAGGGCAAACAAAATCTCATCAGATACCTAAGTTCAAAGACTCATAACTCCTACAAAAGTCAAATGATAAACATTTCTTTTGGATATGCCCATCTATATATTATGTCCTTATTATCTACAAAGTTCCTTGAAATTCTGTTGTGTGGTTTCAGAGGGCATGGTGCCTAGAAAAACAAGCATTCTGTGAGTATTGCCTGGCAATACTTAGTCCCCTACCGGTTAAAAATTCATTGTACTGGAACAAAATGCTAACTTGGTCTATTACTTGTCATGGTGTAAACTATATAACAAATATCAAGTCAATATCTTCAAGCATGACGAAATAAAATGTGGAAAAATTAATTTTTTGAGTGACTTTTCTAAGTCCAAGGACCATAACTCTGCACAAAATCATCAGATTGGAACAAAATTCCAAAGTGATCTGTAACTTGTCATGAAAAAACTATATACCAATCATGATAAAACAATACACTTAATATCAAATCAATATCTTCAAGCACGAAGAAAAAAGTGTGGATAACTGATTTGCTATGACAAACTGTTGCAGTTGTATATTTAGGCCAAAATTCTGAGTTCAAAGGGGCATAACTCCTAGAAAAAAAATATAATCATAATTTTCTGTTGATATGCACATCTAAATTGTAAGTCCTTAATATCTACAAAGTTTCATGAAATTCTGTGGTGTTGTTTCAGAGGAGTTGCAATGACAAATAAAATGCTCCGCAGGGCGCAGCTTGATACGACCGCAGAGGTCGAACCCTGAACAGTTGGGGCAAGTATGGACACAACATTCAAGCTTGATACAGCTTTGCATTTGGATTGTGATTAAATATTTGACACAGCATAGGTTTCTGACACAGAATGAATGTGGTCTAAGAACTTAAAAATTTTAAATTGGACATTCACCTATTATGGTCCAATATCCAAAATCTAAATACATGGTTAGATTCAGCATATCAAAGAACCCCAAGAATTCAATTTTTGATGAAATCAAACAAAGTTTAATTTTGGACCCTTTTGACCTCAATGTGGACAAAGTTGATAACGGGGCCCAAAAATCAAAAATCTAAATACATGGTTAGATTCAGCATATCAAAGAACCCCATATATTCAATTTTTGTTGAAATCAAACAAAGTTTAATTTTGGACCCCGATTTGGAACAACTTGAAAACTGGGCCCATAATCAAAAATCTAAATACATGTTTAGATTCAGCATATCAAAGAACCCTAAGAATTCAATTTTTGTTAAAATCAAACTAAGTTTAATTTTGGACCCTTTGGACCTTAATGTAGACCAATTTGAAAAAGGAACCAAAAATTAAGAATCTAAATACACCGTTAGATTCGGCATATCAAAGAACCCCGATAATTCAATTTTTGATGAAATCAAACAAAGTTTAATTTTGGACCCTTTGGACCTCAATGTGGACCAATTTAAAAACGGGGCCCAAAATCCAAAAACTAAATACACGGTTAGATTCAGCATATTAAAGAACCCCAAGAATTCAAGAATAAAACCCCATTGAAATTGGTCAAGAAATAAGCAATTTATACGAAGTATCCTCTTTTGCACAATACTGTGCAATTAAATATTTCTTGCTATTGCGCAATACTGTACAATTGACAATTTCTTGCTATTGCGCAATATTGTGCTATTGGATATTTCTTGCTATTGCGCAATACTGTGCAATTGAAGATTTCTTGCTATTGCGCAATACTGTGCAATTGAAGATTTCTTGCTATTGTGCAATACTGTGCAATTGAAAATTTCTTGCTATTGCACAATACTTATTATATAATAATTTACACATCCTGTTTGGTGTGTATCTCCTACCATATCATTATTATTTGCTTTTAAATATAAATCAGAAATAACCAACTTAAAATGGAAAATTTTAAAAGAAAATAAAAAAGGAAAAAAAAACCCCCCCCCCCCCCCCCAAATTTTTTGAACCCCCTTATGATTCATCACCCTCAAACTCAATCCCAGCCTTCCCTTTGTACAATTTCAGAGAGATCCATACACTAGAACACAAGTTATTGTCTGGAAACTAGAAAAATGTGTTTTTTTGGCCCCTTTTTGGCCCCAAATTCCTAAACGTTTAGGGCAATTACCCCCAAACTCAAACCCAGCTTTCCCTTTGTGATATGGAACCTTGTAGTACAATTTCAGAAAGATCCATACACTTACATACAAGTTATTGTCCTGAAACTAGAAAAATGCTTGTTTTTTGTCCCTTTTTGGCCCCTTATTCCTAAAATATTGAGGCAATTACCCCCATCATCAATCCAAGCCTTCCCTTTGTGGTATGGTACCTTGCAGTACAATTTCAGAGAGATCCATACACTTGAACACAAGTTATTGTCTGGAAACTAGAAAAATGCTTATTTTTGGCCCCTTTTTGGCCCCCAATTCCTAAACGTTTCGGCAATTACCTCCAAACTCAATTCCAGCTTTCCCTTTGTGATATGGAACCTTGTAGTACAATTTCAGAAAGATCCATACACTTACACACAAGTTATTGTCATGAAACTAGAAAAATGCTTGTTTTTTGCCCCTTTTTTGGCCCCTAATTCCTAAAATTTTGAGGCAATTACCCCCAAAATCAATCCCAGCATTCCTTTTGTGATATGGAACCTTGTGGTACAATGTCAGAGAGATCCATACACTAACACACAAGTTATGTCTGGAAGTTACAAAAATGCTTATTTTTGGCCCCTTTTTGGCCCCTAATTCCCTTACAGTTGGTACCATAACCCCCCAAAATCAATCCCAACCTTCCTTTTGAGGTATTGAACCTTGTGGTAAAATTTCATAGAGATCCATTCACTTAAACTAAAGTTAGAGTGCGAAAACCAATGTGTCTTCGGACGACGCCGACGCCAACGTCATACCAATATACGACCACAAAAATTTTTTTGCGGTCGTATAAAAACAGGACAAACTGACGGGTCAAAAACATTATACCCTACAGAACTTTGTTCCATGGGGGTATAAATATAGGGTAAAACAAATGTAATAACCTTCAAGTTATAATAAAATAATCCATGTTCATATGATACATGTATATATTTTGGGGGAAAATTCTCTTAAATACAGTATCATTAGAACAACTGACTTTATTGTCTTATTTTCCAACTGAAGCAAAGTTATTCCTATGTTGAATTATCAATGCTTCCTTGGCAAAAAAGTTTAAAGCATTCACAAATAAATGGGGAATATGCCCCAGGTTGCATATAACGTTATAAAGGGAAATAACTCAATAACGGTAAAAGTGACGCTACCCAAATTCGTACTTGATGTGAGTTTTGTGATAATAAGCATTGTTTATAAGTTTCATAACATTTGGTTGAGGCAAACTTAGAGAACGTTTTCCATTTGTAAAGGGGCATAACTCTAGAACTGTAAAAATGACACTTCCAAAATTCAAACTTGATCTGTGTTTTGTGATAATAAGCATTGTATTGTGTATAAGTTTCATAACATTTCATTGAGGCAAACTAAAGTTAGAGACAGAAATGAAAATTTTTCCATTTGTAAAGGGGCATAACTCTAGAACGGTACAAGTGACGCCACCAAAATTCACACTTGATTTGTGTTTTGTGGTTATAGGCATTGTATATAAGATTCATAACATTTGGTTGATGCAAACTGAAGTTAGAGAAAAAGAAACGAAAAATTCAGCAATTTTTCCATTTGTAAAGGGACATAACTCTAGAAAGGTAAAAGTGACACCACCCAAATTCAAACTTGATCTGTGTTTTGTGGTTATAAGCATTGTTTATAAGTTTCATAACATTTGGTTGAGGCAAACAAAAGTTAGAGAACTGAAACCAATTTCGGGATGTACAGACGGACGTACAAACGGACAAGGGTAAAACTTAATGCCCCCTCTGCTACGGCGGGGGCATAAATACATGGTAACAATAATTTAATAGGAATCTTAAACCATTATAACAGGTAAAAAGTTATTGCAGATTTGTTGCATTGGTTCTGAAGAATAGGGAGAATAAGGTACCCTCTAAAAACAAGAAAAAGAACATGGTTGTGTCTACTTTTTTGTTTTAATATATTTGTACACTGGACAATGGGTTGCTGTATCCTTGTATGACCAGGAAGTTTTGATTCTGTCATTAACTACTCTTAACAAAGACCTTTTAGGTTGAAAAATTTGGCAGTCACTTTTTATTTTCTGCTTACACTGTTTTATTTTTTTTTAAAAGTTTTGTTGCTTTTATGAATTACATTTGGTGATTGCTAGTACCTTTGATCATTTTTTGGTAAAATAATAAATGCTCTTTCTCGGGAAGTATTCCAAATGATTTATTTGTGTAAAAAGAAGCATTATATGTTAAAGTAAGGACTTGTAGTAATGCTATACAAATCCTTGGTTGAAATGAATGTTGAAGTAGAAGTTGTGTGTATGATTTCTTTTATACTCACACAATACAGTAAACAGGAGATCCATGATGTATCTTCAATTTGTTCTTTGTTGTCTTAATATTATCTGTACACTGGAAAATGTGTATACTGCAAAAATAAAAAGAATTTCAAGTTAAGATTAAAAACAAAATTTTCCCAATACTTTCTATTTAATCCATATAGATTATACTAGTGCATCAAGTGTGATACCATAATTCTCCATTCAAGATAGTCATATTTAAAACATGTGGCTTGTAGTTATTTTGAAATAATTGAAATTTAAATGTTGAGGGAGGAGAAATATTGCATTGCATGAGATTTGGTGTTGGAACCATTTACTCTTAATGATTTTTAGACAATATGTAGCAAAACTTTATATTTCTTTTCTTATAAAAAAATAATCTACTGATCAAGAATTGGGTAAGACTTGAAGCAAAAAAAATATCTTGTCCTTTTGCTTTTCTTTACAAAATTTTTAGTAATCCCCTTTGCTTATCAATTAAAAATACATGTTTTACTCTTGTAAGAGCTTTTATAAATTACCTCTTTGTTACAGTCAAAGAAAAATATTCTATAGAAGCAGATTGCAATTAAATAAAAAGTATTTGCTTTATTGTCTGGAAACCAAGATGACTGTGGAACATGGCATCCAAAACGGTCATTTTAACATAATTAAAAATAAAATGCTTCGCTGGGCGCAGCTTGATACGACCGCAGAGGTCGAACCCTGAACAGTTGGGGCAAGTATGGACACAACATTCAAGCTTGATACAGCTCTGAATTTGGATTGTGATTAAATATTTAACACAGCATAGGTTTCTGACACAGAAAGAATGTGGTCTAAGAACTTCAATTTTTTTAATTTACCTATTATGGTCCAATGTCCAAAATCAAAATACATGGTTAGATTCAGCATATCAAAGAACCCCATATATTCAATTTTTGTTGAAATCAAACAAAGTTTAATTTTGGACCCCAACTTGGACAAACTTGAAAACTGGTCCCATAATCAAAAATCTAAACACATGTTTAGATTCAGCATATCAAAGTACCCCAAGAATTCAATTTTTGTTAAAATCAAACTAAGTTTAATTTTGGACCCTTTGGACCTTAATGTAGACCAATTTAAAAAACGGGACCCAAAATTAAAAATCTAAAAACACGTTTAGATTTGGCATATCAAAGAACCCCAATAATTCAATTTTTGATGAAATCAAACAAAGTTTAATTTTGGACCCTTTTGACCACAATATGAACCAATTTGATAGCGGGCCTACAAAATAAAAAATCTAAATACATGGTAAGATTCAGCATATCAAAGAACCCCATATATTCAATTTTTGTTGAAATCAAACAAAGTTTAATTTTGGACCCCAATTTGGACCAACTTGAAAACTGGGCCAAAAATCAAAAATCTAAATACATGTTTAGATTCAGCATATCAAAGAACCCCATATATTCAATTTTTGTTGAAATCAAACAAAGTTTAATTATGGACCCCAACTTGGACCAACTTGAAAACTGGTCCCATAATCAAAAATCTAAACACATGTTTAGATTCAGCATATCAAAGAACCCCAAAAATTCAATTTTTGTTAAAATCAAACTAAGTTTAATTTTGGACCCTTTGGACCTTAATGTAGACCAATTTAAAAAACGGGACCCAAAATTAAAAATCTAAATACACAGTTAGATTTGGCATATCAAAGAACCCCAATAATTAAATTTTTGATGAAATCAAACAAAGTTTAATTTTGGACCCTTTTGACCTCAATATGAACCAATTTGATAGCGGGCCCACAAATAAAAAATCTAAATACATGGTAAGATTCAGCATATCAAAGAACCCCATATATTCAATGTTTGTTGAAATCAAACAAAGTTTAATTTTGGACCCCAATTTGGACCAACTTGAAAACTGGGCCAAAAATCTAAAATCTAAATACATGTTTAGATTCAGCATATCAAAGAACCCCATATATTCAATTTTTGTTGAAATCAAACAAAGTTTAATTTTGGACCCCAACTTGGACCAACTTGAAAACTGGGCCCATAATCAAAATTCTAAACACATGTTTAGATTCAGCATATCAAAGAACCCCAAGAATTCAATTTTTGTTAAAATCAAACTAAGTTTAATTTTGGACCCTTTGGACCTTAATGTAGACCAATTTAAAAACGGGACCCAAAATTAAAAATCTAAATACATGGTTAGATTTGGCATATCAAAGAACCCCACTAATTCAATTTTTGATGAAATCAAACAAAGTTTAATTTTGGACCCTTTTGACCTCAATATGAACCAATTTGATAGCGGGTCCACAAATAAAAAATCTAAATACATGGTTAGATTCAGCATATCAAAGAACCCCAAGAATTCAATTTTTGATGAAATCAAACAAAGTTTAATTTTGGACCCTTTTGACCTCAATGTGGACAAAGTTGATAACGGGGCCCAAAAATCAAAAATCTAAATACATGGTTAGATTCAGCATATCAAAGAACCCCATATATTCAATTTTTGTTGAAATCAAACAAAGTTTAATTTTGGACCCCGATTTGGACCAACTTGAAAACTGGGCCCATAATCAAGAATCTAAATACACGGTTAGATTCGGCATATCAAAGAACCCCAATAATTCAATTTTTGTTAAAATCAAACTAAGTTTAATTTTGGACCCTTTTGACCTTAATGTAGACCAATTTAAAAACGGGGCCCAAAATCCAAAAACTTAATACACGGTTTGATTCAGCATATTAAAGAACCCCAAGAATTCAAGAATAAAACCCCATTGAAATTGATCAAGAAATAAGCAATTTATACGAAGTATCTTCTTTTGCACAATACTGTGCAATTGAATATTTCTTGCTATTGTGCAATACTGTACAATTGACAATTTCTTGCTATTGCGCAATATTGTGCATTGGATATTTCTTGCTATTGCCCAATACTGTGCAATTGAAGATTTCTTGCTATTGCGCAATACTGTGCAATTGAAGATTTCTTGCTATTGTGCAATACTGTGCAATTGAAAATTTCTTGCTATTGCACAATACTTATTATATAATAATTTACACATCCTGTTTGGTGTGTAACTCCTACCATATCATTATTATTTGCTTTTAAATATTAATCAGAAATAACCAACTTAAAATGGAAAATTTTAAAAGAAAAAAAAAAGGAAAAAAAGAAAAAAAAAGAAAAAAAGAAAATCCCCCCCCCCCAAATTTTTTGAACCCCCTTATGATTCATCACCCCCAAACTCAATCCCAGCCTTCCCTTTGTGGTATGGTACCTTGCAGTACAATTTCAGAGAGATCCATACACTTGAACACAAGTTATTGTCTGGAAACTAGAAAAATGCTTATTTTTGGCCCCTTTTTGGCCCCCAATTCCTTAACGTTTCAGGCAATTACCCCCAAACTCAATTCCAGCTTTCCCTTTGTGATATGGAACCTTGTAGTACAATTTCAGAAATATCCAAACACTTACACACAAGTTATTGTCATGAAACTAGAAAAATGCTTGTTTTTTGCCCTTTTTTTGGCCCCTAATTCCTAAAATTTGGAGGCAATTACCCCCAAAATCAATTACAGCCTTCCCTTTGTGATATGGAACCTTGTGGTACAATGTCAGAGAGATCCATACACTTACACACAAGTTATTGTCTGGAATTACAAAAATGCTTATTTTTGGCCCCTTTTTGGCCCCTAATTCCTTAACTGTTGGTACCATAACCCCCAAAATCAATCCCAACCTTCCTTTCGTGGTATTGAACCTTATGGTAAAATTTCATGGAGATCCATTCACTTAAACTAAAGTTAGAGTGCGAAAACCAATGTGTCTTCGGACGACGCCATTTTTCAATTTTTGCGGTCGTATAAAAAAATTGGAAGTTTATGCGATCTTTTTGACCCGACCTTTTGCCTTAAACAGCCACACATTTCCGGTCATAAAAGTGACATGATGAATAAGTCCTATCAAAACAAACCCTACTTTGATACCTTCTCATTTTAATCAAGTCTAATTAGTTGTCGAACAGCTGAAATTTACCTGTTCAGGTGACAGGTAATCTATTTTGTACCAGATATTAATCGGTATATTCAAAGTTATTTTCTTACATTTCAGCAGTTTGCATCTAATTAATTTATTCAAAACACTTATTTTTTATAAATATGATTTGATGAAAATTTAAATAGCTTTTAAACAAAAAATCGTCAGAACCACGTTCTTTGAACTAGTACACGTGTGCGCCTGTGCAGATGGGAAATTTGATTATGCATCCTAATTCTTCAAAAATTCTAAAATTATCATTAATACCTTTATCTAACGTTCATTTCGAGTATTTTCTTGAAGAAATAATGTGGAAAGAGCTACTTAAACTCAATCGTGCTTTGTAAACATACACAGATTTTACATGTCCGTCTCTGTTCCGTGTTTTACCATTGTCATGTCAACATCCGGTATTAGGAAAATGTGCTTTTTAAAAATGAAAGTAAAGTTTTTGACAACGTTATTTAGCACAAATAAAGAGTCTAAGGCAGGTATTAGTACGCTGATGTTGCACACTTCGCATAATGCACTGTCAATTTAACAGTTTACGTCAGAACATTGAATTTATATCAAAGTAAAGTTTAATATTGTTTTAATGTCAATCATTGGATACATGATGGCCAATTGATTACCATAATTGCCTTTTGTTACTAAGTCTTAAGGGATTAAAATCTGGATAAGACATAAAATGTCCGGCTGGCTCAAATATTTTTTGGAAGCCCTGCTGTGAAAGTGACGAACTGATGAATGGTTATAAATTTTATACCCTGTAACTTTGTAGCATGGTGTTTAAATATATCAGAGAGACATGATGCTTGCATGCCATCAAAGAATCTAAGTAACTTACCATCCATCTTCTGTTCCTAGCCACATAGTACTCTTGAAAGCATCTTGTGTCCAGTTACCAGACACTGTTATTGTATCAGGTGAACTTTGGGTCAGGTCTGAAGGAGGTGGGCGTCGCACTTCTATCTCTGAAAAAATATGCAAAAAAATGAAGTACATTTATGTTAATATTAAAATTTAAAAACTTCTCATAAATCTATATTCTCTAAATAGATTGAAGTTATCGATTACCGTTGCTACTCGCTTATTAGTCGGAAAATTGGGAGTAAAATTCATAATCCAGAGAGGGGGACCGACTAATAGACGAGATCTAGCGACCAGAGGAAAAATCCAAGCTTGAGAAAAGTGGTCAGGAGTGAATTTCCTGTTCAAAACTACGTTTTTGATTGCCAAACTTACATAAATCAATAAATAAAAAGTTTTTGTTGAAAATAAATGACTACAATACTGTCTTTGTGTTTTATTTGTTCTTTGGTAAACATTTTCTGCAAATTCGTGTTGAAATTCTACTGTTTCCGGTTTGTGTATTGATTTTCATGGTCACATGGTTTTCCTAAAAACCCAAAAGAAGAGCCAAGAACCAAAATTGAAAAGGAGATAACAATGTACCAAATATGTGAAAGGATGTTTTCAGCGGAGTTATTGTGTCATTATTGTGATATCATGATATCAATTCAATGCTTATAAATCATATAATAATCAAAAAATAATTTTAAGATTCATTCCCAAAATCAAAATATTATTCATTAAAGTGTCTCAGGCAAACAAAAATTACAAAATTGATTGACAAGCCAATATAATCCATTGATAACCCCAATTAAGAGACAAAGAGTTGTATTTACTAAAGGTGTGAAAACTATCAGTGATAGGTAAACAGATGACACTAATGAGTTGGAGTTAGTTATTTTAATATATTGATTAGCTTCACTTAATTTTTTTAATCCTTTAATCATCACAATATAATAAGAATTATGAAGTGTACATGCTCATTTAACACCGAGTTATGTATGCTGTGAAAAATATTTTCATCAAGTGTTGATTGACTTTAAATTTTTCAGGTTCATATTGGTTTATATTCGCTTTTCTCAAACAATAGGTTGTTAGTCATACCCTACAAAATCATTGATGCATTACGTAAACAACACATGGCTAATCTAACATTTGAACAGTGAACAAAACAAGAGAAATGAATACATCTTTATTATTAACAGCAATATAAATTATCATGATGAGCATCAACTAAATTCAAACCAAACAAACATTAATGCAGAAATGAATATTATTCCTGGATTTGCATTGGTTTTACCGGCGTTCAGTTACTGTCAGCTGAAAAAAAAATGCCCAAATTTTGTCCGACTTATACGAGGGTCAAGACTAAATCCTTAGAATTTGGAGCTGAAAAGGGCCCCCGACTTATAGTAGGATCGACTATTAGGCGAGTTTATACGGTAAGTCTGATGCCTTTCGAATTGCTTATATTTAATTTTGAGTCGGCACCTATTTTAGCAATAAAGTCCATAGAATTCCAATAGTTTTTAACTTCATTTTGTAAATTTTCAAGACCCATATTGGATTCATGACACTGCTCAAGAAGGTACATTAGTGTGACCATGGAGACTACTTTTTAATTATTGACAGGATCCATATTTTTAATTTGGAAAGAAGTTTTCATAGAATAACTGTCAATATAATGTTGTATATAATAGAAGTATCCAACAGAGTGATAGAAGAATACTCTTTATCTTTGGTTGAAAGTGCAAAGTAATATAAAACAAACAAATTATTGTCTTGGATTTTCTCTTTTCTAAGTGCCACAGTCCTATTTTTTGTAAATGCAACACAATACTGTATTTTCTGTTATGTTCGAGATATTCATATCATAGCGAAAATAGTGACATACCGTCTCCAACAATCTACTAGTATACAATATGTCAAGCACTAAATTCTAAAGTTTTCAATTAATTTAACAGAGACCATCAAATATCTATCATAAATACCAAACTCCCCTAAATGACAAACAAAGCCCTAACCTATAAAGATGAGACATAATCCCTCCCCCCCCTTTTTTTAAGTAAACTGAACAAGTTGACTGATTCAATTTCAATATTTTGTTTAGTTCAAAGGGAAAAAATTTTGTGCTTTCCAAGTATAATTCTTTTAACTACTGTAAATAAATGTAAAATAAACTTTTCTTATCAAATCTATAATAGATCATACCACTGACAAACAAATCTCTTTTCTCTGTTTCATTAAAATTGTCATCTTCTTCTTCATCAGATTCCTCTCTATCTTCATCAGAATCATCTTCACTGAGTTCTTCGTCTGACTGATACCCTTCTTCGTCTACCTCTTGATCTTCCTCAATCTTTATTGCCAGATCTGGTACAGTTGCAGTTTTTCCTTTTTTTGAACTTGATTTCCTAAATAGAAAGTATGTCTAAAGTTATTAGAAAATATATATTGACATGAGTATTTTATCTAAATGTTCAAATAAACTCATCATAGATACCAGGATCAGATAACCTCAGATAGTTCATTTTGTTATAACAAACATAATATGAATAAATACATTTTTTTGTCGATGCATGCCCAATATGGATTCAATCCCCAAAACCTAATGAAATTTGCATGTTTTCATTGAATTAGATGGAAAATTACGATGTTTGCTTCTCATGATATCATAAAAAGAATGCTAATACATAGTAAATTTGTAAAAAAAATACACCAAATTTCCTGTTTAGTTAAAAAGGATGCTGATATATAAAATTGTTAAAAAAATATCTATTTCCTGTTTTGTCATTGTTAAAGCTATGATACATTGTAATAATGGCCATAAAATCCTAATTTGGAAATTAAGCTAGAATTAAGGCCCTATTAAACATACCCCTTTCTACAACTAATAATAATGCAAGGTTTATAAGTGTACTTCCTGTAAATTTTAAATAAGAATACATGTACTACAATAAAGAAATATCTGGCTTGAAAAATTAAATAGGAGTTATATTATTGGTATTTTCTTGTGGTTACATTTTTAACTTAAAACATTAACTTCTGATTAACGGTATTATCTTTTAATTTTTTTTTAAATTCACAACATTTTTCTGGAAAGGAAGATGTCAAGATGTGTAAGAATATGTAAGCATTCAGTAAACAGGAAATTGATCAAAGATGGATATGAAAAAAATTCGTAAGGGTTCCGCGGAACCCAGTGTCTCGCCTAATTTTTTGTTAATGGCAGGCTCAACAAAAATGAGGAAGTAAATCAATAAAAATATTCCTCTTAGTACTATCTTTTGATTGTAAGAAGCTTCTGTCCAAGTTTGGTAAAAATCCAGGATGGTTTATGAATCTAATAAATGTTAAAAAACTTTAACTGCAGACTGAATGTAATGTTAACTGGAAGAAAACAAAATTTCCTTCTAGATACTAGCATTTGATCATAAACAAGCTTCTGTCCAAGTTTGGTACAAATCCAAAATAGTATAAGAAAGTTATTAAAATTTTAAAAACTTTAACCACAGAGTGAATGTGTTGTTTCCTGGCAGAAAATCTAAGTCCATTTAAAAGTAAAATACGGAAAAAACGGATTTATTGTTTTACAAAATTTCCTTCTAGATACTAGCTTTTTATCATAAACAAGCTTCTGTCCAAGTTTGGTACAAATCCAAAATAGTATAAGAAAGTTATTAAAATTTTTAAAAAATTAACCACAGAGTGAATGTGTTGTTTCCTGGCAGAAAATCTAAGTCCATTTAAAAGTAAAATAAGGAAAAAATGGATTTTTTTTTTTTTACAAAATTTACTTCTGGATACTATCTTATGCTCATAAACAAGCTTCTGTCCAAGTTTGGTAGAAACCCAGGATAGTTTAAGAAAGTTATTAAAATTTTAAAAACTTTAACCACAGAGTGAATGTAATATTTCCCGGCAGAAAAACTAAGTCCATTTATAAGTAAAATACGGAAAAAATGGAATTTTATTTTTACAAAATTTACTTCTGGATACTATCTTATGATCATAAACAAGCTTCTGTCCAAGATTGGTAGAAATCCAGGATAGTTTAAGAAAGTTATTAAAATTTCAAAAACTTTAACCACAGAGTGAATATTTGTGGATGCCTCCGATGCCGCTGGAATGTAGGATCGCTATGTCTTGCTTTTTCGACTAAAGTCGAAGGCTCGACAAAAAGCATCACACAGTATAGCATGCTCACGTGAAGCTAGAGATCAAATTTCTTGAAGCATTTGAATTGTAGTTCCTTAGAATAATACAAAGAAATGCAGGTGATAGACAAACAGGTAAAATAGTATACCCCTCTCCTTTGGACAGAGGGTATAACAAAATTTTGTATTTTCAAATGCTCTTATTAGAATGCAATGTTTTTCCATGAAAAACACAACTCGCTGTTTTTTTCATCTAACATCATATGTAACTCTTTTTAATGTAAGAAATGGTAAGCAACTCATACTTTTAATTTCCTTGTTAGAAGGAAGTATTTTTATGCATGATTATCTAGGAAGGAGGTTAATAAATGAAGAAAAAGATTTTCAAATAAAAAGCTGAATAAAAATCTAATCATATTAAAATGAGACTGTCTGAAAAAAACAAATGGACTTTTAAATGCATAAACAACCCTAAGTAATAGAAATTATTCTGATTAATTTTTGTTTGTTTAACAGAAATTAGCATTTTCCAGGAGAGAATAGTAGAAGTGATGTAAATTGATTGTTGGTGTTGAATGCTGCTATTGTATCATGGCAGCCAGTTTTTATTGGAGTAGAACGTCAGAGTACCCCGAGAGAAAACTTACCTTAGGCAGGAAAACTGGTAGTTCTAGTCAATTTAGATCAGAGTTGGAAGCACCTTGCAACGAGTTGGGTTCAAACTGAAAACCACAATGTTGACAGGCTAGTGATCACTGTAGATGAATGAACTACTTAGACCACTCGACCACCCCACCCCACTCAAGTGATTTCAAAGTATGTGTATACTTAGACCACTTGACCACCCACCCCCCTCAAGTGATTTCAAAGTATGTGTATACTTAGACCACTCGACCACCCCACCCCCTTCAAGTGATTTCAAAGTATGTGTATACTTAGACCACTTGACCACCCACCCCCCTCAAGTGATTTCAAAGTATATGTATACTTAGACCACTTGACCACCCTACCCCACTCAAGTGATTTCAAAGTATGTGTATTTTTGAGAACTATCATTATCATAAGTTATGCATCAATAAATCATTACACTACCTTCTAAATATCCCATTATAAGCTGGTACAGCACAAATACATAATATCCTAGAGTTACAGCCTGGGACTGGTGTGTTCAGTGTTACAATTGGCTCTGGTTGAAGACTTAGTAGGCACATGTGACCTACATAACCATCACTATTACACACCCACACATCACGGAAACCTGTACAATTTACACCATCTATAGCTGCTGCGCAAGAAAACTGAAAAAACAAATTATATCTAAATGAAAATATATCAAACCAAATTTTTGACCATATTTCTTTTTGTTTATTAGATAAGATGATGGATGACAGATGAATACTTAAGGTATTCACAACATGTCATGTCTGGTAGGTTTCATATGACCTTCACCTCATTTTCATGGTTCATTGGTCAATGGTAGATTTTTGTGGTTATGTCAGTTTATCAGTGACTATAAACAATAGATTAACTATATTTGGTGTCGGGAATGATTGTAAGGTGTACATGTCTGTCTGGCAGGGTTGATATTACTTTGACCTCATTTATATGGTTCATTGGTCAATGTTAAAGGGTCATTAGCTACGAGATATAAAAAAAAATTAAATATGATTTTTTTTGTTCAACTATTAATGAAAGTGGAGTAGTGAAATAATAATTTACTTTTAGCAGCCAGTTTGGTTAAATTTTGTCAAAATAAGCTCAGAAACATCACTAATGAATTATTCACTTGCAAGTGAATAATTCAACCTCATTGAATCCGCATTCTGCTATTAAAAGGAAAAGAATGTCAACATTGAAAATAAAACAAGGATGAACCATTCAGCTTTATACAAATAGTTTACGCTATCGTCAGATTGTAATACATATGTCTCCCATATGTCTGTGACTTTTGTCGCACACGAGACAAAATTATTTTTACAAATTGTTATTACCTTTCAATCATTTAATCGAGGGCAACTTATCGAAATCCCTGTCCAGGAAGAATTTTGAAATTCGGCTTTTTTCAGAGGAAAATCTAGCATTTTAGACATTGGAAGTCTTGTGGCACTAGTATACAGGTGAAAACAGGTTATTTGATGAAATCAAGGGTCATTTGATGCGGTATTGAAAAATCTCAGGTTAGCTCTTAAATTCTTAGGTGTGACCAGCAAAAATCAGGTTAGTGGACAGGTATAAATGAGTCACTGCCTCATTGAGCTTTAAACCTCTTTCTACACATCAGTCAGTGGAATTGCAAGTAATTCTTAATTTATATAGAAATTTTAAAGAAATATATAAAAAAAATACTCAGAATTATTTAAATTACAATAGAAGCAGGGACTCAAGCAGTTTTTAGGAATTTATACATTATTTAATGACTTAAACAATATTTAATACATTACAATTATATAAAGAGCTTATGTAATTTTTTTAGGTATAAATTATAAATTCAAATTTCTATAAAATCAAATGTTTCTTCTCATTCATATCTGTTTACCTTCATTTAAAATTGAGTTACAATTTTAGCTCACAAATATAATTTATATAGACTAGATACTGGTCAATTGGCAGCATTATCAGAGATTTTTCAATAGCACAAAATGACTACCTCAATACTATTGGTCATTTGTTTATTAAATAAATGTGGATTGTGTCCACATGTGGACACAGATGATGCCCCCGCTTGCATATCATATAGTTATAAAGGGACATAACCGAAGAACGGTAAAAGTGACGCTACCCAAATTTGATCTTGATCCGAGTTTTGTGGTAATAAGCATTGTGTATAAGTTTTATAACATTTGGTTGAGACAAACTAAAGTTAGAGAACATAAAAGAAAAATTCAGCAATTTTTATGTTTATAAAGGGCATAACTCAAGAATGGTAAAAGTGATGCCACCGAATTTCGTACTTAAACTGTATTATGTAGTAATAAGCATTGTGTATAAGTTTCATAACATTTGGTTGAGGCAAACTAAAGTTAGAGAACGGAAACAAAAAATTTGTACGTGATCTTAGTTTTGTGGTAATGAGTATTCTGTATAGGTTTTATAATGTTTGGTTGGGGCAAACTTAAGTTACAGAATGGAAACTAAAAATTTTGCAATTTTCCGATTTGTAAAGGGGCATAACTCAAAACTGGTTAAAGTGACACTACCCAAATTCAACTTGATCTGTGTTTAATCAGTGGAAGGCAAAATTAAACATTGCATTGTATAAAGCATTGATTGTAGTTGATTCAACTATAATCATGGACAAAGGAAGATAACTCCAATTTTAAAAATTACTTGAATAATGACATTGATATTTTTAGAAAAAAAATGAAAAATTCAGCAATTTTTCCATTTGTAAAGGGGCATAACTCTAGAACAGTAAAAGTGACGCCACCAAAATTCAAACTTGATCTGTGTATTGTGGTAATAAGTATTGTGTATAAGTTTCATAATATTTGGATGAGGCAAACTTAAGTTAGAGAACAGAAAGGGGCATAACTCTAGAACGGTTAAAGTGACGCCATAAAAATTCAAACTTGATCTGTGTTTTGTGGTAATAAGCATTGTGTATAAGTTTGATAAAATTTGGCTGAGGCAAACTTTAGTTAGAGAACAGAAACCAATTTTGGGACGTACGTACGTACGGACAAGGGTAAAACTTAATGCCCCCTCCACTTCGGCAGGGGCATAAAAAAAAATTAAAACTATATTATATTGGTCTCAGAAGACCAAATCTTTGACCCGTAAGGCTTTAATATTATCTGCAAGTGCATCAGGATGGAAATTCATGTTTCAGGAGGATTATATTTTCCAGCTTCATGAGAAAAATTACAAGATGTCTGAAAACAATTTGTTATGCCAGTAAAATGTGTATGGATGGACATCTCTGTAATGACATCTACTAACAGTAAAATGTAAAAGTAATCCATGTATATAAAACAGTCTTAATTTTCAACATAACTCATATAAGTAATTTCTAAAGATACTTGTTAAAGTAAAGCCACTCAAAAGTTAACAGGAGGACATCCCATCAGGACAATATCAAACACTCCAAGTCTTTACTCCTACTACTAAATACAATGCATTGAAACAACTAGACTAAAAATTATACAATGTACAGTATTTCTAACGGTTTTCCTTACAAAACTATCATTATAAAATGAAATAAAATGCTTCGCTGAGCACAGCTGGATACGACCGCAGAGGTCCAACCCTGAACAGTTGGGGCAAAAATGGACACAATAATCGTGCTTTATACAGGTCTGAATTTGGATTGTAATTAAATATTTGACACATAATAGTCTGAAACCTGAAATGAGAAAGGATTGCCCCCCCCCCCCTCCCATTTTTTCCAAAAAAAAATTCTTTCCCTCAAGATATGGTCATAATCTCAATTCAAATTTCCGATGGAGTTTGCAATCATAATTACCAATTTAAATACATCATAAAAGTCTTAAAATAGAAAATGACATACATAATCATGGCTAAAATTAATATTCCTTTAATAGTAACTTCTAAAAATAAATTGACAGCTAATCACCTCAAGTTCTTTATACATAATTTAAAAGAAGTGAAAGGGAGGTAAATCCAAACATACACAACATTGTACTTTAAATGTGTTTGGATTACCTCCCTTACACTACTTTTAAATTGTCCATTAACCAGGAAACCCTTGTTTTTCCCCCTTTTTTGCCCCTAATTCTTAAAGGGTTTGAGCCATAACCACCCAAATCCAATCCTAACCATCCCTTTGTGGTATGGAAATTTGTGGTATAATTTCAGAGAGATCCATACACCGTTCCACAAGTTATTGTCTGGAAACTAGAAAAATGCTTATTTGGCCCCTAATTCCTAAACTGTTTGGACTATAACCCCCAAAATCAATCCCAACCTTCCTTTTGTGGTTATAAACCTTGTATTTAAATTTCATAGATTTCCAGAAACCAAATGTCTTCAGACGACGACGACGACATATACCAATATACGACCGCAAAATTTTTTGCGGTCGTTAAAAAATCACTGAATTTGTTGGTTACTGTCAACAACAGCCCTTTCCATGGTAATTAAAACATCATAGCTTGGAAAATTTATAGGTCAGAGACAGTTATGATGTCATATAATATAATACCTGCATTCCAGCTCTTGTTTTAGTTATCTGCAAAGGCTGTAAAAATTCAGGTGCTCTCTTGTTCGACAAAATGGCTGGAAATATATATCAATAACTAAATATTGTAAATTCAGAATTTGTTTATTATGTTTCATTATTGCGATGGAATAGGTTTACCAAAAATAAATAAACAGCTGCGCCATGAGCTCATGATACGCCCGTCGTCTTGTGTGTGAATTTTTATGCAATAAGCGTAAACAGTTTCTGACATACGGCGTGACATGCGAAAACCCCCCTTTTTTTTTACAAAAAACTCAATTTCTCTAAAATAAAATTTTGAATCAAAACCAATAAACTGCTTCGCTGAGCGCAGCTGGATACGCCCGCAGAGGTCCAACCCTGAACAGTTGGGGCAAAAAAGGACACAATGTTCAAGCTTGATACAGGTCTGAATTTGGATTGTAATTAAATATTTGACATATTTTAGGTTTCTGAATAAATGTAGTCAAAGAACTTGAAATTGGTTATATGAATTGAATTTATATTCAATTAAAGATTTCTTTTTGTTGTGCAATACACTGTGCTGTTGCACAATACTAGTAAATCTGTTGTCAGACTATAAACAAATAAAGTTCAATAACTTCTCAATGTTATATTAGAAATTTATAAAAAAAACTAAAGGGAGGTTATCTTAATAGATATAAATCAGTCATCAAAGTTTAATGAAAACTGCTCTAAGCACTTTAAGGATATTGTCCAAAAACTTGAAAATCACCCCTTTTTTTATGAATAAAATCTTGTAACTCGGAAACATAAAATCTAAAATTTATAAAAAAATCAAAAGGGAGCTTACAACAATAGATATAAACAATTTACTAAAGTTTCATAAAATATGCTGAAAGCATTTATGAGTTATTGTCCAAACAGGAATATCCCCCTTTTTGTAACGAATAAAACCCCATAAATCAGAAACATATAGTCTAAAATTTATAAAAATCAAAAGGGAGCTCATATCAATAGCATTAAACAATTCACCAAAGTTTTCTTGCAAATTGGTGAAATTGTTTTTGAGTTATTGTCTGAAAACTGGAAAATCCCCCCTTTTTTAATGAATAAAACTCCAAAATTTGGAAATGGTAAATCCGAAATTTATAAAAAACGAAAGGGAGCTCACGTCAATATATATAAACAATTCACCAAAGTTTCATGCATATTGGTTAAAGCGTTTTTGAGTTAATGTCCGACATGTTGACGACGGACGGACGGACAGACCGACGGACAGACGGACGGTCAACAGTATACCATAATACGTCCCGTAAACGGGCGTATAAAAAGTATACAGATCTTTAGATTAATATAACTAAGAAGTGTGTAAAATTTTAAGCAATAATCATAAATCGTTTTTGAGATATGGCGCGACATGTGAAAACCCCCTTTAAAAAAAAAACTAGAGGCTCTCAAGAGCCTGTGTCGCTCACCTGATTCTACTTTGGTTTTGGAAATCATGTAAAAATAGATTAAAATCATAACAGATACCCTAATAATGAGTGAGGCCAAATTTGGTTTAATATTGGTCCTGTAATTTAATAAAAAATCCTGGTGGCCATCTTGAACAGTAAATCGGCAACAAAGTAGCAACACTTAATCCGCACCTCATAAGAAACATTTATGCCATGTTTTGGTTTCATTCCATTCAGTGCACCTCTAGAAGAAGCATTTGTATGTATTTCCCATAGGGTCTTATGTTAAAGGAAGTCCCCCCATTGGCAGCCATCATGGATGAAGGATCAGCTTCAAAGTAACAAAACTTAGTCAGCACCTCATAAGGAACATTCATGCCATGTTTGGTTTCAATCCATTCAGTATGTGGTTCTCTAAAAGAAGACATTTGTATGTATCATCCATAGGGTCCTTTGTTAAACATTGTCCCCATCTGGCAGCCATCATGGATGAAGGATCAGCTTCAAAGTAACAACACTTGGTCAGCACCTCAAAAGGAACATGCATGCCATGTTTGGTTTCATTCCATTCAATGGTTCTCTAAAAGAAAACATTTGTACGTATTTCTCATAGGGTCCTATGTTTAACTAATTCCTCCGCTGGCGGCCATCTTAGATTATGGATCGGCTTCATAGTAACAACACTTGGTCAGCACCTCATAAGGAACATTCATGCCATGTTTGGTTTCATTGCATTCAGTGGTTCTCTAAAAGAAGACATTTGTATGTATTTCCCATAGGGTCCTATATTAAACTAAGTCCCCCGCTGGCTGCCATCTTGGATGATGGATCAGCTTCAAAGAATAAACACTTGGTCAGCACCTCATAAGGAACATTCATGCCATGTTTGGTTTCATTGCATTCAGTGGTTCTCTAAAAGAAGACATTTGTATGTATTTCCTATAGGGTCCTATGTTAAACTAAGTCCCCCGCTGGCTGCCATCTTGGATGATGGATCAGCTTCAAAGTAACAACACTTGGTCAGCACCTCATGAGGAACATTCATGCCATGTTTGGTTTCATTGCATTCAGTGGTTCTCTAAAAGAAGACATTTGTATGTATTTCCCTTAGGGTCCTATGTTAAACTAAGTCCCTCTCTGGTGGCCATCTTGGATGATGGATCGGCTTCAAAGTAACAACACTTAGTCAAGACCTCATAAGGAACATTCATGCCATGTTTGGTTTCATTCCATTCAGTGGTTCTCTAAAAGAAGACATTTGTATGTATTTCCCATAGGGTCCCATGTTAAACTAAGTCCCCCGCTGGCATCCATCTTGGATTATGGATCGGCTTCAAAGTAACAACACTCGGTCAGCACCTCATAAAGAACATTCATACCATGTTTGGTTTCATTCCATTCAGTGGTTCTCTAAAAGAAGACATTTGTATGTATTTCCCATAGGGTCCTATGTTAAACTAAGTCCCCTGCTGGCGGCCATCTTGGATTATGGATCGGCTTTAAAGTAACAACACTCGGTCAGCACCTCATAAGAAACATTCATGCTATGTTTGGTTTCATTCCATTCAGTGGTTCTCTAAATGAAGACATTTGTATGTATTTCCCATAGGGTCCTATGTTAAACTAAGTCCCCCGCTGGCGGCCATCTTGGATTATGGATCGGCTTCAAAGTAACAACACTCAGTCAGCACCTCATAAGGAACATTCATACCATGTTTGGTTTCATTCCATTCAGTGGTTCTCTAAAAGAAGACATTTGTATGTATTTCCCATAGGGTCCTATGTTAAACTAAGTCCCCCGCTGGCGGCCATCTTGGATTATGGATCGGCTTCAAAGTAACAACACTCGGTCAGCACCTCATAAGGAACATTCATACCATGTTTGGTTTCATTCCGTTCAGTGGTTCTATAAAAGAAGACATTTGTATGTATTTCCCATTGGGTCCTATGTTAAACTAAGTCCCTCACTGGCGGCCATTTTGGATGATGGAACAGCTACAAAGTAACAACACTTGGTCAGCACCTTGTAAGGAACATTCATGCTATGTTTTGTTACATTCCATTCAGTGGTTCTCTAAAAGAAGTCATTTGTATGCATTTCCCATAGGGTCCTATGTTAAACTAAGTCCCCCGCTGGCGGCCATCTTGGATGATGGATCGGCTACAAAGTAACAACACTTGGTCAGCCCTTTGGGCCAGGTGAGCTGAAAAATCAATATCTCAAAAATAAAGTTTGTAAAATTTTAAGCAATAAGCATAAATCGTTTTTGAGATACGGCGCGACATGTGAAAAACCCCTCCCCCTTTTTTTACAAAATACTCAATAACTCAAAAATAAAATTTTGAATCATCACCAAAAAGTATACAGATCTTAAGGTTAATATAACTAAGAAGTGTGTAAAGTTTTAAGCAATAATCATAAACTGTTTTTGAGATACAGCGCGACATGTGAAAAACCCCTCCCCCTTTTTTAACAAAATACTCAATAACTCTAAAATAAAATTTTGAATCATCACCAAAAAGTATACAGATCTTAAGATTAATATAAATAAGAAGTGTGTAAAGTTTTAAGCAATAATCATAAATTGTTTTTGAGATACGGCGCGACATGTGAAAAAAAACACACACCTGTTTTAGTTACTAAGTCCCGTAACTCAAAAAGTTTTAATCTCATTTTCACCAAAAAGTATACAGATCGTTTGACCATCATAAGAAACAACTATGTTAAGTTTCATGAAATTTGGATACGTCATTCTCAAGTTACGGTGCGACATGTTTACGCCGGACAGACAGACGGACAGATGGACAGAAAGACGGACGGACACCGGACATTTGTATACCATAATACGTCCCGTCAAAAATTGACGGGCGTATAAAAACTTACATTTTAAACTTTGATATCATTATTTGCATGCAGCATTTCCTGAATTTGCAAGAATTTGTTTTACATATTTGTCTATTGTTCAACAATTACAATAATAAATGGTTGATTTCTGAAATAACAGTATTCTGTACATTTACTGAAATAACAGTATTCTGTACATGTACTGAAATAACAGTATTCTGTACATTTACTGAAATAACAGTATTCTGTACATTTACTGAAATAACAGTATTCTGTACATTTACTAAAGAAATTTGACATAATTTGAATACAAACAAAGATACTGTGTGCTACTAAAAGGAAGTGCCATCAACCTGAACATAACAAATACACAATCCAATACTTGCACAGCATTGGAAGATATATGGTTAAGGGATTTGGAGTTCAGACAATTTTCAGATAATTATGTCTAATTCTTGATAAACAGTTATATAATAGCATACAAAAAAGCCATTTTAGTTTGAAAAATCAAATGTCAGTTTATCTCATTCAAGAGTTAATCTTACTGGCCTTGTCATTTACCATGTGAAATTCATTCTATTGTTACTATGATAAAGTAAAAGTGTAGTTATTTGATATCAAACCATGTCAATATTTTCTTTTAATTGGAATATTATTTAGCAATTTACTTTTCTATAGTTTTAAAATCTGGTAATTGCTCTGACATCTGGCCGCCAGTTTTGGGCTGTGGGCTTCAGAGTAAGAGTCCATGTAGAAAACTTTAATCTTATATCATTATAATTGCAACCCATACGTTGAGTGGCAAGTTTCTGTCTTGGAATCATAATAGATCTATAGTCATGCAGATAAACCATACATTATTTTATTTCTTATCAATTTTCGCCACAAATAAACCTTTAATTCACAGACTTCTCCCTGCAGCACAAACTTACACTTTAAATAAAAGCTCCTCAAACGTTTTTTGAGCATGTAACCACAAGTTTTTGAACATTTATAACTATCCTATTATTGCTGTCTTATCATTCAAATATATCAATTATGAAATCCACTTTTTTAATTAAGAGGTATTCCTGCAGTTAACTTAAATCTTATACCTAATTTTTGTTTTGCATCGTAGAAAGCCGCTTCCCATGCAGATCTTTTTTCTGATGAACTAAAACATATCTCTAATGGGAAAACACCTTCTCTGTAAATATAAAATAAAAATGTACATTTCTTGACCCAAATAAAGAAAAGGAAAACATGTAGAAAAGGTGAATAGAAGTCTATTATGACCTATGTAAAAGACAGAGTATACCACTCATTTCAAAGGCAATTTATTTGTATAACTTCTGTGAGTTGAAAAAATGGGATAATAAATCATTGAGTATATGTCAAACTTGGATCTTCTCTATGTGAATACATCAACTAAGTTAGCTTTCTTGTAGATTTTGGGTGAAAATAGGTAGATCTTGACATTCTCAGCACTTTTACCGCATCAGATTTTCTCTTTCTATTATGGTTTTCAAGATTCAAGACAATTAATGCATTTTACCCATATGTTCATAGACAGCAAAACAACCGAAACTTTATTCTAGATGGTAGATACCCTAATGATCATTCAGCTAAATTTTGGTTGAAATTGGTTCAGTAGTTTGAGAGGAGAATATCTTTGAAAAAGCTTACGACACTAATGACAAATGACAATCAGAGCTCCAGCTAAAAATTCACAAATTGGGTTTTTTACCCATCAATTTTGGTGTAATTGAGTGAAATAGTTTTTTCAATTGTATTATTAATTCCAGATCACCCCTCCAGCAAATATCGAATTGGGTTTTTCACCACCAAGCTCCTGAATGTATTGGGTTTTTCATCATCTAAATATTGAATTGTGGCATGTCATAATGTAATCATATCAAACGAAGATGTTCATCCACTGTTATCTTAAATATGTTTCTTTCAAGTATATATGTCATGTATGTATTTGGTTTAAACACTGACGAGCAATTTTTTGGTTTAACTTGTGTCTGGTTTAACTGTTCCGCCAGTTTTGTATTTTCTGTCAATCTGAATAAACTGGTCTTTCTAGAGCACATATGGTAGACTTACTTTCGGAGCAATATATATATATATATATATATATGAGACCCCCGTTTTTTTATTTTATTAAGCTATGGTTTCTTTCGGGGTTGTCGCCTTCTCAATTAAGGAATTGATGATATGACTTGCATACTTTTGTGCTTCCGCACAGCGGTCTGTTGTCAATAGTTCAACAGAATATACGACTTAGTTACTAGCGATGCTTTTTTCTGCCTCTCAGACTCATGTTCTGCCAAAAGAAAATTTAATAAACTGATCCCTTATGTTTACCCAGGATACAGCTTTGAGTAATGGATAATTCCTTCTAACAGGGACCAAGATCAGATATTTGATGTAACACTCTATTTTTAGAACAAAAGTAGATTTCCTATCTCTGATTGCCTAATATTACAAAAATAGATTTACGTGACAACAATTTATCAATAAGGGTAAATAACGCACACGATAGCGATAAGTAGGGTTTAGAACACATAGTTTTGACATATAATTGGGTTTTCCTTTGCATGAATTAGGTTTTTGAACGCTGCAATTGTCAATTGATTTGGGTTTTTAATTGTTTTTATCCCGTAATCACGCAGCTTATCTGGAGCTCAGGTCAAGTGATGGTAATAGCTGAGCTAACTAGATATCATTTCGATGGGAGCCATCTCTGTGGGCCCCGCTGTGAATAATGTGTGGTAAAAAATTTGTATCTTTATCATTGGACATGGGGTTGCCAACTGAAACCGAAGTTTATGACCTTGACCTTTGACCTAGGAAGTTGTACATAAATTATGACACACCCTCTGGTGTTGGTTTATATACATGTCAAGTATAAACTTTGAAATCATAACGGTTCTCAAGATATAGAGCGGACATGATCTTTACCATAGGACATGGGGTTGTCAACTAAAACCAAAGTTTTTGACCTTGACCTTTGACCAAGGAAGTTGTGTACATACATTATGACACACCCTCTGGTGTTGGTTTATATACATGTCAAGTATAAACTTTGAAATCATAACTGTTCTCAAGATATAGAGCAGACACAATCTTTACCATAGGACATGGGGTTGTCAACTAAAACCAGTTTTTGACCTAGGAAGTTGTACATACATTATGACACACCCTCTGGTGTTGGTTAATATACATGTCAAGTATAAACTTTGAAATCATAACGGCTCTCTAGATATAGAGCGGACACAATTTGATAAGGACAGACGGACGGACAGACTGATCACTATGGCGGGGCCCTAATAAAATGTACAATTAACAGGTTAAAGTTTTTTGTATTCAATATTCGGTCCTTCTGACAGTTAATTGGTTAACCATTTACAACACTAGTTCACACAGTATATACAATGCAAGAAATGACACTGCTTGATGATTTTCCTTCAGGTCATAGTTTTCTTAAATGCAAAATAATACATTTTTTCACTAGTGAAACAATCAAATATAACTATCTTTTCTATATTTGATTAAATGAAAGACACATATATATATATATATAATAACAACTTAAATATCACTTTACCTTGTGAAACAACAGAACAACAGGTATAAACATAAATGCTCCTCTTTATATTCTGTATGTGTGATTAATTGTGAACATTGTGCATATAAAGCATTGTTAAGTCAAGATACTATATTTACAGGTTTCAAAACCATGTATTTATCAACAGAACTTAATGCTTTCTTCAGTTGGGGGTTATCCTCCTCCTATAAACATAAATATTTTTCAAACTACTCATGTTTGTAGTTTGTTAAGTCCTGTATACCTTAATACATTGCATTTTTAGAAGGAAGTAACATTCAGTTAAGCTTATATAAGCTGAGTACTTTCTAATGGATCTTTAAGCATGATAAAATATTCATTTTATCTATAGTAACAGCATTATTTTAGCTTCATATAGACAGACATATCATGCCACATGATTGCAATAACTTACATTGCTTCTTCAGGTCTATCTGCATTAATACACACTCACTGGGTAGTCACTATGATATCTAGTTTGTTGGAGTCTATAATAAACACTCACTGGGTAGACACTATAATTTCTAGTTTGATGGAGTCTATAATAAACACTCACTGGGTAGACACTATAATTTCTAGTCTGATGGAGTCTATAATAAACACTCACTGGGTAGTCACTATGATATCTAGTTTGTTGGAGTCTATAATAAACACTCACTGGGTAGTCACTATGATTTTTAATTTGTTGGAGTCTATAATAAACACTTTCTGGGTAGTCACTATAATTTCTAGTTTGTTGGAGTCTATAATAAACACTTTCTGGGTAGTCACTTTAATATCTAGTTCGATGGAGTATATAATAAACACTTACTGGGTAGTAACTATGATATCTAGTTTGTTGGAGTCTATAATAAACACTTACTGGGTAGTAACTATGATATCTAGTTTGTTGGAGTCTATAATAAACACTATCTAGGTAGTCACTTTAATATCTAGTTCGATGGAGTATATAATAAACACTTACTGGGTAGTAACTATGATATCTAGTTTGTTGGAGTCTATTATAAACACTTACTGGGTAGTAACTATGATATCTAGTTTGTTGGAGTCTATAATAAACACTTACTGGGTAGTCACTATGATATCTAGTTTGTTGGAGTCTATTATAAACACTTACTGAGTAGTAACTTTGATATCTAGTTTGTTGGAGTCTATAATAAACACTTACTGGGTAGTCACTATGATATCTAGTTTGTTGGAGTCTATCTGTCTCATTCTTGCCTGTATTTCTGACAACTGATTGTTCAACATGATTAGAAGGTCTTTTAAAGCAACATCCAACTCCTATAAAAGAAACAATGAAAGTGAGCATAAAATGTTTTGTACAATTTTTGGGCATATCATTTTCAACACTATTTTATGTTAAAATATCACTTAATAAAATGCTCCGCAGGGCGCAGCTTGATACGACCGCAGAGGTCGAACCCTGAACAGTTGGGGCAAGTATGGACACAACATTCAAGCTTGATACAGCTCTGAATTTGGATTGTGATTAAATATTTGACACAGCATAGGTTTCTGACACAAAATGAATGTGGTCTAAGAACTTAAAATTTTTAAATTGGACATTCACCTATTATGGTCAAATATCCAAAATCTAAATACATGGTTAGATTCAGCATATCAAAGAACCCCAAGAATTCAATTTTTGATGAAATCAAACAAAGTTTAATTTTGGACCCTTTTGACCTCAATGTGGACAAAGTTGATAACGGGGCCCAAAAATCAAAAATCTAAATACATGGTTAGATTCAGCATATCAAAGAACCCCATATATTCAATTTTTGTTGAAATCAAACAAAGTTTAATTTTGGACCCCGATTTGGACCAACCTGAAAACTGGGCCCATAATCAAAAATCTAAATACATGTTTAGATTCAGCATATCAAAGGACCCTAAAAATTTAATTTTTGTTAAAATCAAAACTAAGTTTTATTTTGGACCCTTTGGACCTTAATGTAGACCAATTTGAAAACGGAACCAAAAATTAAGAATATAAATACACGGTTAGATTCGGCTTATCAAAGAACCCCAATAATTCAATTTTTGATGAAATCAAACAAAGTTAAATTTTGGACCCTTTGGACCTCAATGTGGACCAATTTAAAAACGGGGCCCAAAATCCAAAAACTTAATACACGGTTAGATTCAGCATATTAAAGAACCCCAAGAATTCAAGAATAAAACCCCATTGAAATTGATCAAGAAATAAGCAATTTATACGAAGTATCTTCTTTTGCACAATACTGTGCAATTGAATATTTCTTGCTATTGCGCAATACTGTACAATTGACAATTTCTTGCTATTGCGCAATATTGTGCTATTGGATATTTCTTGCTATTGCGCAATACTGTGCAATTGAAGATTTCTTGCTATTGTGCAATACTGTGCAATTGAAGATTTCTTGCTATTGTGCAATGCAATTGAAAATTTCTTGCTATTGCACAATACTTATTATATAATAATTTACACATCCTGTTTGGTGTGTATCTCCTACCATATCATTATTATTTGCTTTTAAATATAAATCTGAAATAACCAACTTAAAATGGAAAATTTTAAAAGAAAAAAAAAATGAAAAAAAGAAAAAAAAAAAAAAAAAAAAATCCCCCCCCCAAATTTTTTTGAACCCCCTTATGATTCATCACCCCCAAACTCAATCCCAGCCTTCCCTTTGTGGTATGGTACCTTGCAGTACAATTTCAGAGAGATCCATACACTTGAACACAAGTTATTGTCTGGAAACTAGAAAAATGCTTATTTTTGGCCCCTTTTTGGCCCCCAATTCCTAAACGTTTCGGGCAATTACCCCCAAACTCAATTCCAGCTTTCCCTTTGTGATATGGAACCTTGTAGTACAATTTCAGAAATATCCAAACACTTACACACAAGTTATTGTCATGAAATTAGAAAAATGCTTGTTTCTTGCCCCTTTTTTGGCCCCTAATTCCTAAATTTTTGAGGCAATTACCCCCAAAATCAATTATAGCCTTCCCTTTGTGATATGGAACCTTGTGGTACAATGTCAGAGAGATCCATACACTTACACACAAGTTATTGTCTGGAAGTTACAAAAATGCTTATTTTTGGCCCCTTTTTGGCCCCTAATTCCTTAACTGTTGGTACCATAACCCCCAAAATCAATCCCAACCTTCCTTTCGTGGTATTGAACCTTATGGTAAAATTTCATGGAGATCCATTCACTTAAACTAAAGTTAGAGTGCGAAAACCAATGTGTCTTCGGACGACGCTTGACGACGACGACGACGACGACGACGCCAACGTCATACCAATATACGACCAAAAAATTTTTAATTTTTGCGGTCGTATAAAAAAAATAGTGAATATATTTGGGGAACATTTTATCCATTAAGAAAAAAGACAATTTTGTAGTCAAAATGGTATTGCTTTATATTTTTCAACATGTATTTTTATTATAGGCATAAGTATTATATACCCGCAAAACCAAAAATAATATGCTTCGCTGAGCGCAGCCTGATATGACCGCAGAGGTCAAACCCTGAACAGTTGGTACAAATTTGGACACAATATTCAAGCTTGATACTGTTTGAATTTGGATTGTGATCAAGTTTTTGACATAATATAGATTTCTGACACAAAATAAATGTGGTCAATGATCTTACAAATCTATTGCGCAATACTGTGCAATTGAAGATTTCTTCTTGAAACTTTTCAAAAATTCAAAATTTGAAAATTCTCTAAAAAAATTGGAAAAAAAAATCCCCCCCCCCCCCCCCCCCCCCCAACTTTTTGAAACCCCTCTTGGAGCAATAACCCCAAAACTCGATCCCAGCCTTTCCTTTGTAGTATGGAACCTTGTAGTACAATTTCAGAGAGATCCATACACTTAAACACAAGTTATTGTCTGGAAACTAGAAAAATGCTTGTTTTTGGCCCTTAATTCCTAAACAGTTGGCCCCATAACCCCTAAAATAAATCCCAACCTTCTACTTGTGATATTAAACATTGTCGTACAATTTCAGAGCAATCGAAATACTTACACAAAAGTTGTTATCCTGAAACTAGAAAAATGCTTGTTTTGGGCCCCTTTTTGGCCCCTAATTCCTACATATTTGGGCAATTAACCCAAACTCAATCCTAGACTTCCCTTTGTGATATGGAACCTTATGGTACTATGTCATGAGAGATCCATACACTTACACACAAGTTATTGTTTGGAAACTAGAAAAATGCTTGTTTTTGGCCCCTTTTTGGCCCTTAATTCCTAAACAGTTGGCCCCATAACCCCTAAAATAAACCCCAACCTTCTACTTGTGATATTAAACATTGTCGTACAATTTCAGAGCAATCGAAATACTTATACAAAAGTTGTTATCCTGAAACTAGAAAAATGCTTGTTTTGGGCCCCTTTTGGGCCCCTAATCCTAAACGGTTGGGACCATCATCTCCAAAATCAATCCCAACCTTCCTTTTGTGGTATTGAACCTTCTTAAAAAATTTCATAGAGATCCATTCACTTAAACTAAAGTTATTGTCCGGAAACCAATGTGTCTTCGGGCGACGACATCATACCATTATACGATCCCAAAAATTTTTTTGCGGTTGTATAAAAAATATAACTGTTGACACAGAGCAGTCTGCGCCAAAAACTTTTTTATCTACTAGTCTGGAAACTAAATATCTAAACTTGTCCCTATATGACTATATGAAATTTTGAAAATTTTCTCGTCCAAATCAATATTTACTAGTCTGGGGCATCGGACTAGTGGCTAACGGTGCAGACTGACAGAGATATGTCTCGCCTGTCGATAGAAAATTCAGAAAAAGACAATCTGATGGACAGCAACATTGCTATTTAATTCAAAGTTGCTGAACCATGACACAGAGATCAGCGCGTCAAAATGATCGCCAAACTGAGATGTACTATTATTAATGCAACTTTATAGAAAATATCATTGTCTATCATAAGAATTTCCTATCAAACTAACTTAGACAGAAAACTTACCATTGAAAATTGGTAATTAATTGAAAGTCACTGGACCATGACCTACATGGCCAGGGCCTCGATATAGTCATCAAACTGATATGTTCTGATAGTTACTTTATAGACAATATCATTGATCTATCACAAGTAGTTCCTATCAAACTGACTTAAGCAGAAAACTTAAAAAGCAACACATATGTCTCACCTTCCATGACAATTCCTCGACTTTTGTTGCAGGCGAGACAAGAACCATAAATTGCAAGAAACCTTCATCATGAATTTTGAGCAAATGAATACATCACCAAAAAAGGTAAAAGTGTTTCTTCATCAATAATTCTGAATTTTATGAATTTTGGTTAGAACCTCTTTTATGACCAAGAGCAAAATTTTGAAAATATTTAATTTAATTTATCCGTATTTTATCGATAAATGGACATTTTTGCAGTTACAAATAGGTCTGGGGTTAAACTTTGTTACATATAAATTTCATTGTCAAGCCTTCGTACAAGTTTATGAAACTTTGGCAGAAGCTTTTCTATGATAAAGAGTAATGTTTGAAACAAAAATTTTGAAAATATCAATTTATTGTTATTTTCAGTATTTTACTGAAAGATGGTATTTTGCAGTTTACTTTTGCCTACAGTCTGGGATTACATTTTTTTCAACATGATAAATTTGAAAACCTCCATGGATTGTTATGAAACTTGGACAGAAGCTTATCTTCAAGATCAAGAAATAGCATCTAAATAAAAAGTTTTTTTTTAAATTTTGTATTTTACTGATAAATGGACTCACTTTTTAAAGTGACAGCAGCAATCGCAGGCAAGACACAGGGTTCCGGAGAACCGTTTATGAATTTTTCATACTACTAATCACACTTTTAAAAAACCTTCAGAGGTTTACAAGAGGGCTAATATGTTATAATGCCAATAAAAACCTCTGTTCACAACATTTTCTGGACAGCTTTTATATGGGTTTGAACGTTTTAGCAAACAGGGTATTTAGATGTAAGCACAATAATCTTGATTTCCTTTGTTCTGAGTAAAGAAAGGTCATATTTGGCTTACAAACAGCTAATCTTAAAAGTCCCCAATAGCTTCTAAACAAGTTTTTAGCCTCAACATTAATGCTAATTTCTATTTTTTATATCTGTTGCAAATTTTTTTTTTCATTTTCAGGTTTTAATTGATGATAACTAAAACACTGATATGAATGAAAGGACATATGTGGCATATATATGAAAATTATGGAAAATAATAGTACAATAAAAATACTAGATTTCAAATGCTTACTGAGTGTTGGCAACTAAGTTGTGTTGCTATATCATTGATTTCATTCAATCTGTGTATATCTTGTTCAATCTGTTCAGGATCAACTGATGGCTTTCTGTTCAACTTTGACTCAGCTACAATACAACATTGATAATTGTTCATATCATTTAAACTGAACTAGTGCGTTTTTGGTTTTGTTTTTGTTTGATGTTTTTCTTCTTTGTATCAATCTAATGAGTTAAGCCTTTTTCAACTGATTTTCATAGTTTGTTCTTGTGTTGTTACACCACTATCCCAGGTTAGGGGAGGTTGAGCGCTCACAAACATGTTTAACCCTGCCACATTCTTTATGTGCCTGTCCCATGTCAGGAGCCTGTAGTTCAGTGGTTGTCATTGGGTCATGTCTGTCATATTTGTTTTTCGTAAATTATTTTGTTATAAACTAGGCTGTTAGTTTTCTCTATTTAATTGTTTTATATTTTTCATGTCAGGGCCTTTTATAGCCAACTATACGGTATGGGTTTTTTCTCATTATTGAAGGCTGTATGGTTGCCTATAATTGATTACATCCACTTCATTTGATCTGGGCTGCATAGTTGTCTCATTGGCAACCATAACACATCTCCTTATTTTTATATAGCTATATATTCAGATAAAGTTGCATCTAGAATCTCAGATTTGATTGGAAGCATGGCTTCTTTTCACTTCCCCTACAGTTTACTTTTATTTTGATCAGATTCATCATGAGGTGCAATACATGAGACAATCAAAGTGCTGGATAGCACCTGTGGAAAGTTTGCAACGGTAGATGTGTATTATTTTAAATAGGTTGTAGATGTGTAGATTGTGTGGTTAACGTTTTTTCCGACTTCTAAAAATAAATTGCGTCGCTGAGCGCAGCTGGATACGACCGCAGAGGTCCAACCCTGAACAGTTGGGGCAAAAATGGACACAATATTCGTGCTTGATACAGGTCTGAATTTGGATTGAAATTATATGTTTGACACAGAATAACTGTAGTCAAAGAACTTAGAATTGGTTATATGATTTGAATTTATATTCAATTTTTTGCTTTTTCAGTTGCGCTTGCCCCCCCCCCCCAAAAAAAAAAAAATTGCCCCCCTTTTTTTTGCTATTATGCAATACACTATGCTGTTGCAAATTGACCCCCCCTCCCCCCAAAAAAAAATTTCACCCCCCCTTTTTTTTGGCAAAAATCTTTTTTTCCACCCCACCCCTTTTTATTGCAAATTTCTGAAATCTGTAATGAGAAAAAAAAATTGTTCCCCCTCCCCCCCTTCACCTTTTTCCAAAAAAAAAAATCTTTCAATTCAGATATGGTCATTATCTCAATTCAAATTTCCGATGGAGTTTGCAACCATAATTACCCATTTAAAAACATCATAAAAGTCTTAAAATAGAAAATGACATACATAATCATGTCTAAAAATAATATATCTTTAATCAGCATTTTTATTAGTAACTTTAAAAAATAATCCAAATTTAACATTGTACTTAAAAATGATTGTCCATTAACAAGGAAATCCTTGTTTTTTCCCCCTTTTTTGCCCCTAATTCCTAAACAGTTTGAGCCATTACCCTCCAAAGCCAATCCTAACCATCCCGTTGTGGTATGGAAACTTGTTGTACAATTTCAGAGAGATGAACTTATGTGTTCGCTTAAATTCTTCACAATTGATTTGATGTGTAGTCACGTGACCGGTCGTCGTACAAGATACCAGGAAACTCGTGAAAATAATATCAAAACATAACTAGTAAACGGTATGAGTCTGTATGGTCACCTCTGCCAAAAGAAAACCTGATGAAACGGGGGATACAGCAGGGGTGATTGATGAAACGGCTTAACGTAGTCAGAAAGACAGGATCTGACTAAAGACCAAAAATTTACAACGAAAAACAAGAACGTATTTTTTTCCAAATGCGACAAAGTGAAAGCGAAAGTGCCCTGGTTCTTTGGACAAATAATCTTAAAACTTGATCCCTTAAAGAATCATGATGAAAATTACCACCAAGCTTCTATTTATCTTAAATAGCTTGCCAAAAAAGGGGGTTAAAAAAAAACTGACCCGCCCCAAGCTTGAAAACAAAGTTGAGCTGTTATCTGCCACAAACTAGTTAGGCTACAGCAATTGAAACCAAAACAATTAAAAGGGTACACAGTGTTATTAAACACAGCGTTTAGTGTTGGGGAAAAGGGGAAGCCTTTTTCTGACTGAATTTATTTAAGAAATTCAGAAAAAAATGAGGCATGATGAGTGCTTTGGAATGGTAAGCATTTTCTGTTTTGATAAATTGAATTTTCAATAAAAATTGGACCTTCTAAGAATAAAGGAGGACCTTTAAGTATTTTTGGTCAAAGGTCCTGGACCTTCCATTGCCTAAAGTAAATTTGAACCCCTGCTTTCATTTGATTTGTTTTTTATTGTCCCATATAAGAATATATATGGTTTGGGGTGGGGATCTCGACCATATACAAGTTCTCAAACAGGAAGGGGGTAGGAGTAACCCCAGGGACTCACCTTTTATTTCATTTGATTTGTTTTATTGTCCCGTACAAGAATATATATGGTTTTGGGGTGGGGATATCGACCGTTTACAAGTTTTCAAAAAGAAGGGGGTGGGGGTGACCCCTATATTTCATTTGATTTGTTTTATTGTCCTTATTTTTATATAGCTATATATTCAGATAAAGTTGCATCTAGAATCTCAGATTTGATTGGAAGCATGGCTTCTTTTCACTTCCCCTACAGTTTACTTTTATTTTGATCAGATTCATCATGAGGTGCAATACATGAGACAATCAAAGTGCTGGATAGCAGCTGGATACGACCGCAGAGGTCCAACCCTGAACAGTTGGGGCAAAAATGGACACAATATTCGTGCTTGATACAGGTCTGAATTTGGATTGAAATTATATGTTTGACACAGAATAACTGTAGTCAAAGAACTTAGAATTGGTTATATGATTTGAATTTATATTCAATTTTTTGCTTTTTCAGTTGCGCTTGCCCCCCCCCCCCCCCCCCCCCCCCCCCCCCCCAAAAAAAAAAAAAATTGCCCCCTTTTTTTTTGCTATTATGCAATACACTATGCTGTTGCAAATTGACCCCCCCTCCCCCCCAAAAAAAAAATTTCACCCCCCCTTTTTTTTGGCAAAAATCTTTTTTTCCACCCCACCCCTTTTTATTGCAAATTTCTGAAATCTGTAATGAGAAAAAAAAATTGTTCCCCCTCCCCCCTCAATTTTTTTTCACCTCCCCCTCCCCCCCTTCACCTTTTTCCAAAAAAAAAATCTTTCAATTCAGATATGGTCATTATCTCAATTCAAATTTCCGATGGAGTTTGCAACCATAATTACCCATTTAAAAACATCATAAAAGTCTTAAAATAGAAAATGACATACATAATCATGTCTAAAAATAATATATCTTTAATCAGCATTTTTATTAGTAACTTTAAAAAATAATCCAAATTTAACATTGTACTTAAAAATGATTGTCCATTAACAAGGAAATCCTTGTTTTTTCCCCCTTTTTTGCCCCTAATTCCTAAACAGTTTGAGCCATTACCCTCCAAAGCCAATCCTAACCATCCCGTTGTGGTATGGAAACTTGTTGTACAATTTCAGAGAGATCCCAACACCGTTCAACAAGTTATTGTCTGAAAACTAGAAAATGCTTACTGTGGATTCATTTATATTCGTTGAACATTTAATTTCGTGGTTTACCTGTTCCCACCATATCCACAAAAATTGGTATCAAACGAATAATAATGAATCCACAGTATTTGGGCCTCTTTTTTGGCCCCTAATTCCTAAACTGTTAGGACCATAACTCCCAAAATCAATCCCAACCTTCCTTTTGTGGTTATAAACCTGGTGTTTAAATTTCATAGATTTCTATTTACTAATACTAAAGTTATTGTCAGGAAACCAAGTGTCTTCGGACAACGACCACAAATTTTTTTTGCGGTTGAATAAAAAATACTTAATACAAGAAATAATTGTAACAGGATGCTGATACGAAGTCTCCCAAACAAGGCTCCCATAATTAGTCATTCCCATGGTCACCTGACATTGGGCAAAGTCCAGTACAAATTGGTATGGTCAAGTAAAGTGATATGCATAAGTGACGCCTAGGGATTAACCCTGTATGTCATTCAAATCTTCTTGAAATCATGAACAGGAATATATATGGTTTAGGGGGGGTGGGGGAATCTTGACCATTTACAAGTTCTCAAAAGGGGGGGGGGGGGGGTGATTCTCAGGGGACTCACCCTTTCCAGGGGTTCACATTAGAGGTGGTCCAAGGTCCGTGACCTTCCATTTACGGGTTGGGACCTTCCCACTGGTAGTTAGTTACACCGAAGGACTTTCGTATTTTTGCAGGTTAAAAAAGTTACAAAAGTGTTTTGAAGAAAATATGTAAAAATCTAGTATAAAAAAAATCTGAAAATATTCAAATTTACTGAAAGGAAACTTATGTGTTCGCTTAAATTCTTCACAATTGATTTGATGTGTAGTCACGTGACCGGTCGTCGTACAAGATACCAGGAAACTCGTGAAAATAATATCAAAACATAACTAGTAAACGGTATGAGTCTGTATGGTCACCTCTGCCAAAAGAAAACCTGATGAAACGGGGGATACAGCAGGGGTGATTGATGAAACGGCTTAACGTAGTCAGAAAGACAGGATCTGACTAAAGACCAAAAATTTACAACGAAAAACAAGAACATATTTTTTTCCAAATGCGACAAAGTGAAAGCGAAAGTGCCCTGGTTCTTTGGACAAATAATCTTAAAACTTGATCCCTTAAAGAATCATGATGAAAATTACCACCAAGCTTCTATTTATCTTAAATAGCTTGCCAAAAAAGGGGGTTAAAAAAAAACTGACCCGCCCCAAGCTTGAAAACAAAGTTGAGCTGTTATCTGCCACAAACTAGTTAGGCTACAGCAATTGAAACCAAAACAATTAAAAGGGTACACAGTGTTATTAAACACAGCGTTTAGTGTTGGGGAAAAGGGGAAGCCTTTTTCTGACTGAATTTATTTAAGAAATTCAGAAAAAAATGAGGCATGATGAGTGCTTTGGAATGGTAAGCATTTTCTG